ATAACACTCTTTTTATTTTATTTTATGTTTATACTGATATTTAAATTAATTTTTGAGTCCCAAATCTGGTATTGTAGACTGATACTTGAAGTTGCTTTGCGATAAACATCTTTCAACCATACATTATTGTGGAAAAACAAACCAATGTGAGCAAATAATACCCATATAACTATTTTTTAATTTCGTATTCCATATGAATCTATATAAGCTTGTTAAATGCATTGTATTAGAACTGTAATTTTGTTCTATTTCATTGGTTCAAACACCACTAAAGGCGGATCCAGGGGTGGACGAAGGTGGGCTTCAGCCCATCCCAAAAAAAAGAAAAAAGACGGATTCAGGGGTGGGCGAAGGTGGGCTTCAGCACACCAAACAAAAAAAAAAAAAAAATTAGTAATGGTAGCTTAGCTTAAGTTAGCCCAATTCTAAGTTAGCCCACCCCATTCAGAAATGTTGAATCCGGCCTTGGGTGGGACTTGGGTGGGCCTAACCCGAGCAACCCGCTTCCAACCCCATAGTTTTACGGGAGTTGGAAAGGTCATTGAGACTATGGGATGGGACTGGATTTAAACTTTAGAGCCTAAATTCATTTTGGGCTGGATTTGGATAAAAGTTTTAGTAACCTGAGGAAACCAAAGAACCAAAATTATAAAAATAGTTTATAACTTTTATACAAGGCTATAAGTGAAGGAAAATAAAGTACCTTAAATTATTTATAATATCATCAATCATGGATTCATGGTATTCACCAAACTCAAGTACTTTGGTACTAAGGGCCTTGTAGCCCAATGGTATTTCCTCTACCTTCCAAAGTGGATGATGACATTTCGAGTCTCCAAAGAAACAAAGTGAGTGTGTGAGTACGTTTATTTTTAAAAAGTAAAAACTTTTAATAATTGAATTTTAGTTAAGGAAACCAAATATTAAAGAATATCAAATATTGAGTTCTTTCCAAGTTCATATTCCCTTCTTTTTTTTTTTTTTTCCTAGTTGGTAGACCTCTCTTTAGAAGGTAAGAGGCTGACACCGCTAAATCACTGACCCGTTGGTATTATGTGAACTTTTTGGGCCTTGTTACATATCTTAAATTATTAGAAATTATATCTTATTGCTATAAGATTATATTACACATAATTTAGTTCTATTCATCATCCTACTTGAAATGGGAGTTTGATCCTGGCTCAGCCTGACCGAAGATAGAAGTTGAGAAGTGTTAGCCTGACCGAAGAGAGAAGTTGAGAAGTGGAACATTCAGAAACTCTAATAGGTTAGGCAATCTCCGATTGATATCGATTCAATGACCTGGTTGCAATAGAGCAAAACCTCCGCATTGATGATCAATAGGTAATCGACTATCTTTGCCTGACCGAAGATAGAAGTTGAGAAGTGTTAGCCTGACCGAAGAGAGAAGTTGAGAAGTGGAACATTCAGAAACTCTAATAGGTTAGGCAATCTCCGATTGATATCGATTCAATGACCTGGTTGCAATAGAGCAAAACCTCCGCATTGATGATCAATAGGTAACCGACAGCTTTGCAGCCTTTTATGAGGCCTACGAATCGCAATCAAGAGGTGAGGGTGGACAAGGAAGAATAAGTCGTAAGGAATGAAGCATCAAGTTTGCTAAGAATCAGTCTGACCTTCGGATTCTACCCCTCACACAAGTTTCAACTACTATGATGTTCTCGCAGCTGGCAGGAGAAGGGGCTCTTCAGAAAGTCTTCCTGAAGCATTCGAACAGGCAGGAGAATGAAATGGATCTCAATGCGGAATTATTGTTCCCCACTGCAGTAGCTACTTTTGGAGCTACTTTCTCGTCAACAAGATACGGCTTCCTGAAGAAGGCAACTCATTTTGAAGCTCTGAGCAATCCTCTTAGAAGATGTGGTTATCTAAATATGCATGGGGTCATTTTGAGCCCCAATGACAAAGGAACCTACGGGCTGGAAAATTCCTCACACCTAACTATAAGGGAGCTGTTGAAAGCTGACCAAAACAACAGAAACTGGGACTACCTGAGCTAATAATAAAGGCAAGAACACTTTCTTTCCGGCCAGACCCTTACTATAACCAACCTCACAGGTCCAACAATATCTTTTACATCGATGTATTAGTACTCTCTCGACCAGGTGATCATAAGAAAATACTGCTCAATCTTTCCGTTTTTGAAGTGAGAGAAGGAGGGAAGGTGCGCTACAACTAACATAACAGCCAGAGCTGAAAAACGTTAGCCAGCTAGGCTAACGCGCAATGGCTTTCTCTGATAAGGGCCCGTTTCTTCAAGCTGCTCCGCCCAACCTATACAAGGTGTTGCGCGCTACAAGGTGCTGCATGCTTTCTCTCAGCCACTAGTGACTTATGTAGTGGTCGGCATTCCTCCCTGCCCCCTACTTAAGGAAAAAAAAGGTCACCTTTGGATGTTGTCGTGACGCTTTAGTTACGAAGGTTACAGGGATCAATGATTTATGGATGGATTCAGTCAGCGAAAGTCCCTCCAACTCAATCAAATCAACAACATGTCGTAACTGGTTAGGCTTGGTTGATTTTGTCAGAAAAAAGTGGGTTTCGGAAGTTCATTGATTAGTACACCTCCGGTGCTGGTAAGGTCGGGACCGTGAGAATCCTTAGTAGGTTTGCCGGCCGATAAGATTTCTGAGATTGACCAGCCAGGGGTTAGTTTAGTTATTCTTTTTTTATTATTATTTTATTGAAAAGGAGTCAGCTGTCTGCGCGAGTCACCTTCTTCTAGGCTCCGCTGGACGACACTGCATTTTCGTTCAAATATAGGCCGGCCATACCTGTGATGGTTCCCAAGGATCCAGTATGATCGCTTAGGTCTACGTTGCCACGATATTGTTCTATGGAAGCGGGCGGGCTGTTAGAAGTTCGGCCCGATTTTTTTGGTGTCGTAGGGGGAGGATTGACCTTTCTAACGCATATTCCGTCGTACCGGCATGGCCTTATTTATTTTTTTTGAGCGGAGCATCAAGCAGCGCAACCCGGTTCTACTTGACTAAGCCCCGTGCTCGTCCAATGAGGGAGTTTGCTTTACCCAACTCCCTTTTTGATAACAATGCAGAAAGCCCGACCCGTGATACAAGCACCAAAAGCCAACGACGCCGTACACTACAAGGCGGCTTTCGGTGCGGAGGAGGTGAGCCCGTTCTGAGCTTCACCGTTTTGAGCTTCCACAGCCATGGCTCACTGTTTGTTTAGAGAGAGAGAGCAGAGAGAGAAAGAGAGAGAGAGCAGTAGAGAGAGACCGAAGAGTATAGTTCTGTTGCAGGTGAGCGGAATTTACTGTTGCCAGGAAGCAGAACGGCTTGGGCTTTATAGGGAAAAAAATGTTGCCGTACTCACTAATATGCCCCTTTATTTGTCCTTTATTTATGATGGTACCATTCTTCCGTCCCTTGAAAGAATTCAAAGTACTACTATAAAATAATATTCTATAAGATTGCCTTCTCCTTTTCTTTTATTTACGACAAAGCCACCCCCTCCTTAAACGGCTATGTTTTGACTGGTTCGTACTTCATTCCACTTCTGAATCCTCTTTAATGCAAGGATGGAAGCTTTTGGACAAGTCTACCACACTGGTTCAAATTTACAAGTAATGACATTTGTATAAATAAAATGGTATATATCATAATTTATATTTCCAATCTTTTCCGATTTACGAGTTTATTTATATATTAACTCTAACTCCATTAATATTATATCATAATAGGAGTTGCGATGCAATCACAAAATTATTCCATTGTAATTTGAAACTCACGATATCAAAAATTATAAATTATAATGTTCACGTATACATAATTTGACACATATATACGGAGTTAATTGTTTTTCATAACAAATTGGTTGGGCAGCAACTAAAAAGAAATATAAAGGACATAATATAATCCAAAATATCTTCGTTCGCTTATGTATTTCAATGGTGGCAGTGGGCAAGAGCCGTGGCAACTGCATGTGGACGTGGGGGGTTAAATGGGTCATGGATGTGATAATGCTCTGATTGGAGAATTCGTGGTTATGAACTTATGATTGTGGGATCAATTTTGGTTGAACGTGGCATGCATGGTAATAAAAATAATTTTGTTTGGCATTATGACTGTAAATACAACTTAATTCGAGTATATCTTAAAGTCCATATTAGATTTATATTATAAATAATTGAAATTAATATAACACAATTCATCATTTCTGAGATTTTATTTAGGTGTATATTTGAATTAATGGTTGCTTTAATATTTGAATTTACATCCTCACGCTGGTAAGATTTTGCAGCTACATTATGAGCCAGTTTGAGATTGTTGTTAGAATGTTAAAAGCGTTTTTAATAGTAGAGCTGTTATAAAAGTGCTGTCAGTAAAACGCAGTTAAACGTTTGGTGACACATTGTATAAAGCACTTTTTATACTTGAAGCACTTTTAAAATTGTTTGGTAATAATATTGCTTAAAGCACTTTTATTACTAATTTTACTATATTACTCTTACAGTAAACATATGATAATTTCCTAATATTTAATATTATAAAATTCCATTGAGTTGAATAATTTATAACGATGAACTTGTTATTTTTTTTTTTATTTCAAATATCATATATTTTGTTTATGATATCGAATTTGTATTGAGTACTAAAATATAAATGAGTTAAACATATTTTAATGATGATTATTTTGTATCTGATTTTGGATCTTTTAGTAATAAAATAAGCAAATTTGCTCATATGTTATCTAATAATGAAATTTAATAATATAATGTTTTGCAATATAGATAACATTTTATAAAATAGAATTAAACACTTTAATCACAATTAATAATCTTATTACTTGTCATTTGAGATAATAGCATAAATATATTGTGGTTATTTTAAAAACAAATTACAAGTCATAAATTATTAAAAATGAAACATCTAACAATTATATAATTGAGAAGTTATACGGTCACGAACAACCCCCATCTCATTGTCATCGCCAGTGTACCTCTCACGTGGGTGTTAATCATTGTCATTCCCTTCTTCATCAGGCACTAAATCCAAATTTTCATCATATCGTTGAAATTCCTCATCAATAATAGCTGTTCGCCGTATAAAATTATGAATCGTTATGGATGCAATAACAATTGCAACTTGTTTTGAAAAACTAAAACTAGGCATTCGTGATATAATTCGCCATTTTGCTTTCCAAACACCAAAGGTTCTTTCAATAATCGTTCTCAAAGATGAGTGAGCATGATTGAAGAACTCATGAGGGCCCCTTGGCTGACTTCCACGACGAAATTCTGGAAGATGGTATCGTTCTCTCTTGTAAGGAGCTAAATATCCTTTCATATTAGAATATCCACCATCAACTAGATAATATTTACCTACGAAGGTAAAATTTTAGAAGACAATATAATGATATATTGTACAAAACTAAATAATTAATGAAACATTATACTTTTTAATAATAGAAAGAATAACTTAGATATAATTCATTTATGAACGAACCTTCCGGGGGTTTTGAAAAATTCAAGTTTATTCTCTCAATTGCCTCCAAAAGAATGCGAGTGTCGTAAGCTGTTCCCTCCCAACTGGCCCAAGCAAATGTAAATAGCATATTAAAGTCACACACATCCATTACATTCTGAGTACAATACCCTTTCCTTCTTATATATGGAACTTTCTTATTTTCAGGGATAACAGCTGCAATATGTGTCCCATCAATTGCTCCGATACAATCCTAACAATCAATAAATAGTAAAATTTTATATAATTAATAATATTAAATTAAAATAACAAAATTATATAAATAATTACCTTAAAATATGGCCAGTACTTTCGATTCTTGCGAATATATATAAGTACTTTAAATTCACAATCAAGAGGTTTTATAAAATCCATAGATATCTTTATGACTGCAACTAACACATCTGTAAAATGTTGACTTACAGTTTCACGGGAATGCTGAAAACGTTCTTGAAGCATTCGGTTACTTACACCGTGTCCAATGGTCATTAAAAACGTTCTTGAAGCATTCGGTTAATTTTTCTTCTTTCTCTCTGTGTCGTTAAATCTATATGTTGAATACGCTTTGAAAAGTCTCTCTCAAGGTACAATCTTTTCACTCTTTTCTCTTCTGAATCGGCTTCAACTGTCATAGTTGTAAACTTTGATTTCAAGTTTTGCTTGATCAAAACTCAACTATAATCCGCCTCCTTTAATTCTAACTTCTTTTTTTTAAAAAAAATTGCTTGTTGATTTGAATTTCTCAACGAGATTGAAGGATAGGAGTGTTGGTTAAGAAAAAGTCTACAGTTTTAGGTCAATTTTAGCTGTTCATTGTGGATCTTTATGTGTTTGGTTTTGTCTTTATTAGCCTCAAAATTGTATATGTTTGTGTTCTGTTCGTTTCACACTGATATTTTTTATTTTTTATTTTTTATTTTAAGCTGACTATATGAGTTTTGATACTCAAAAGTTTGGCATGGTCTGAGCTTCAGTTTGATCCAATTTTGCTGATTTTTTATTGTCTAATTCAACCATTGCAACTTGTTTTATCACAGAAGTGCATGGAGATTGTTTGTGATCAACAGTTTTTAGTTTTTATTTATCATTATTGATGAATTTATCTGGTTTTTGTAGAGGGGTCGAGTGACCGTAATTATTTTACCTAAGCTAACCGAATTAAAAAATAAATCTTAAAAAAAGAGCACTTTGTAAATTAAAACTCCTAACTCAATATAATTATAACTTTCCAAAGATTAATCAGAATACCAGTTGTGTTGTTTAAGAAGAAAAAATACATAAATAAATAAAAATAGGAGTGGGAATTACCTGAAGAAGCTAGTGTAATCTGGCCAACAAAATGACACTATGTAAATTATACTACATATACAACTCAACAATGATAGTCATGTAAAATTCAGAAGAAAAAAAAAAGGCTAGTCATGTAAATAACACATCCAAACTGACTTCATAGTTTGAGCTGTTGATATCATGCATATATATATATAGGGAGGGATCATACCTTATACGATACAAATTATGGTGATGCAGATCGGCACTATTGAGATTGAAAGGCGGCTGAAGAGTCCAAAATAAACTAATCTTTATTTGTTATAGAGTTTCACGCATTGTTTGCTATTTGTTTGTAGAAGCCTAAAAGGGATAAAATTGTATTAATAAAAAATATAAAGGGATTATATTGTCTATAACAAAATTAGTTACGTAAAAACACGTACCTCTACCCGTAATGTAGTTTTAAAAACTACGATTTTTAACTTAAATTAAACGCACTTTTTAAACTTAACCTCTACCATCTTTAAGAGTTTTTTTTTTTTTTTTTTTCAACCAAACACTTTGCACCGCAATTTTTTAAAATAGAAGTGCTTGTCAGTAATAGAGAAGCACTCCCAAACATCCACTATGTCAATGATTCTAGTTGTACAGATATATATGATTATCTTTATTGTATTATTATCATTCTGAAATGCTCTTCGAGTACTTTTCATAATTGACATGAAGAGTTCCCTCCACAGGTTGCTATTAGTTCAATTCAATTGAATAGTTTGACTAGCGAAAATATTTACGTTCCCAAGAGGTAACTAATTTTTAATCGGTGATAGTTAGAGGGGGAGAAGAATCGAACGTGAGATATGACTTTTAAAAGTTTGACCCTTTACCACTTGGGCAATAATACCACACTACTAGTGGTAACTATCATCCGCATTCAAAACTGATGAAAATTTATTCGAATAAAATGATATTTTGTGCACTTAAAAATGCATAAACATTAACCAATAGAAATTCGCAAGAAAAAGAGAAGACGGAATTGTTTGAATTGCACGTGAATATATTTATCGAATGAACTTCTTTCAATGTGTATAATTTATTCAATTTGTGTATCATTATTTAAAACATTCGCATGAATTCTGATCAGATAAATTACTTACTAAGTTTTTGTCCAGAGTTACATGATTGAATGTCTTGCACTTGAGCCAAAAAGTCCACAATTATATTTAGTATAGATAGTGTAACGAGCTGGACACTTCATCTTGAACTAAAAAGTTAAAATTGTTGAGTAATGTTACATAATCATTTATATTTGTGTAAGAACTTTTCTATCAAGATCCGATGTGGGACAAAACCCCTCTTAAATTCTTCCTTATCATAACTCGCAACACCCATGTTGCATTCGGACTGTACCATTTATTTTGCGTCTCCCCTAATGACAGGAGGATTTAATAACGACGGGGACTCGAACTCCACCAAAGTGAGATGTTCCTTTTCTATATCATGGGACAAAAACCCTTTAAATGCAGCATGTAAAAAAGGTATTATTAATGTTTTGTGTTTTTTTTTGTTTTTGTTTTTGTTTTTGTTTTTTTAAAAAAAATAAATATATTTCACAGTCTGTCTTATGGTGAGTATCTTGCACAACAAAATAGATTTTTTTACTCGAAACCTCCGTCGAAGCCGTCTTAGCTCAGCTGGTAGAGCGCGTGGCTTTTAACCACGTGGTCGTGGGTTCGATTCCCACAGACGGCGTTTCCCTGCTTTTTTGTGGTTCTACGGTATCTTTTTAATGGCTTCACCCAATCTCCTTTTCTCTCTCCGCCCCACCAGTTTTCTCTCTCGAACGCTCTACCCAGATATCCGAACTACAGTCTACAGAACCTTAAACCCAACACCATAAATAGTATTACGGAGGACTTTCCTCTTCCCGCCCTGTTCTCCCATGTATTCCACTCCAACACCAGTCACTTCTTCTTCCAATCTTCTCTCTCCCCCATTATTATTCTTCCTAGCCTCACCGTCGTCCCATTTTCCTACTCACCACCACCGGCAACCAAAACAGTCCAAGAATCGGAAAATCTTGGCCATGTGTGTCAGTTACGAGGTCGGTGGAGGCTTCTCAGAGCAGGAATTACGCGTCCAAGACAGGAGTAGAAGGCGAGAACCAGAAAACCCCAAATTGGACACTGCCCAGTACGAAGCTCTCCTCAAAGGAGGTGATCAGGTCACGTCTGTTCTTGAAGAGATGATCAAACTTGTATGTTCTTTGTCCTTCTCATCTAATTATTGATTTTCTTGATAATATTTTTTTGTCAATTTCCTGAAGGACTCGGTAGGTCAACTGTGTAAGTACTTGAGTCTCAAAGTTGGTGCCTATATATCAACTGTGAGAGGATCTTGATTTAAACGGTTCTTTTAACACACACATTTCTTTTGTCTTTAAGTTTGAAAGAACTAATGTATTTTGACATTCAATTTTTTCCTCTTCCTGTAGCTAAATCTTAAACCCTAAACCCTGGACCTTCAATGGGGTTTCATAGAATTCTTGCATGTCCTGCGCCCATATTTCTTGTTTCAGAATGTGAGATTGGTGATTGTATAAGCAGATGATGAACCCTAAACATCCGACTCTAAATTCTTTTAACGGGGTTTCCATATCACCCAACTTCATGCAATGTAGAAAGACTTGTTTTCATTATATCTCGGAGTTGTGTGATGTGAGTTAGGCACATAGAACATTGCATGAATGCGTTTCCCTTTTGAAATAAGAAATTTTCTAACTGCAGTTGGGGAAAAATGTTTAAATAATTATATACATACTGGAAAAAAATTTCATGCATATGTGCAAACTTTGTTCAAATTTGATCTTTCATGTATGGCAAACATATTGTCAACCATGTCTGTTTATAATTTCCTTGCGGTATTCCAATCTTTCTATAAATCACGTGTCTCAACCGAAGAAACATAATTATGTAACTACTTTACCGTGTAATGTGTTTCTTCCTTTTTAGTTTTCATTTCTTTTTCTCAGTATTTCCCCTACCAAACATGTCTACTTTGGGTTTTCGAGTTGACATGCCTCCAAGCCACCATATCGATATGAGAAAATGTGCTCATTCTTTATGATATCTCAGGAATCTCAATTGTACATAAAACCTTGTTTTCATGTTTTCTATTGCATAATCTGATATTCATCCAAATGTAAAAAAAAAAATGTAGTATAATGTATGCCTATTTTACTAGTGGTTTCAGTTTCACTTTCTAGTCAGTGCTATTCCAATTATCTTCTATATGATCTAGCGTTGTAGCATCATTTCACTTCTCTGGAAATTATCCTACTTATTTTGATATAATGGATACAGATACCATATTTGCAATGAGGAGCCTCCTGTCATACAATATGTTGTACTTCAGATAATAAAATTATTTCCAATCGAAACAAAATTCTTTTGAATGAATTCATATTTTAATTATAATTTTGATTTTATTATTAAATTTTTTAATTTCTTCTGTCCAAGTCAAGAACCGATGCTCTTATTCCTCACCGTACGGTTGAACTAGAGTAGAGTTGTTGCTTTGTTAAATGAAAGTTAGGAAAGGTATAGAGGACGTGATCATGGCTAGCAATTCAAAATAGACCAGATACTTGTAGGGGGATTTGTGCAGGAAAGATTCACTGCACAGTCAAAAGAAAGGGATTTTATAACCGCTTTAACAAGGAATTTTTGAGTTCCGCATGGAATCTGGTTGGACCTTCAACTGCATAATAGAAACTAAAAAATTGAATAATGCCTTTTTTCTTTCTTCTTCCTTTTCTTTTCAATTTTCTTTTCTCTGAACTGGCATTAACTGGACTTGTGGCATCACTCCAAGTATCTAGGCGGCCACCGTTATTAAACAGTGAACATATGTATTTCCATGCATGAGGATGGATTTATGCCCATATTTTAAATTCTTATTGATCAATTATGAAACAGAATTATAACAATCCATGCTAGAGATATTTTCAAGCAAAATCCAAAGTAAATTGTGTACTTATCATAAAAAAAAAATTTGCTTTGCTGGTCCACCTTTGTCCTAGTGACTTTGGGTCATAACTCCCAAGCCCCAGGTCAAGGTTTTGAGATTGGTAGAGAGGGAAGAAAGGGGTATTTTTATTTTTTTTATTTTTTTTATTTCAAGCAAATTTCCTAATATTAGCTTGAATTGTCATCACTGCATTACAATGGCTGTCATGCAGAATGTCAAATTATTGGTAAGTTGGAGCCCTTAATTTTTCAGTTGACTTGGTAGTGCTATTTTTTTGTGGTTAACATGGCCCATTTTGTGCCTTTTATTTGAATATGCCTGCCTATTTGAAATAGCATCATTCTCAAATTTTATCTATGAAAGGTTGTAATTTAGTTTCAGACATGATTCATCCTAGGATTTTGACTTGGAACCAAGTTATGGGAGGTAGATGGGTTTATATGTTTCATATGTTCCTTATTAGTGCTTTCTGTGCTCTTTACAAAGCTTATTCCTTGTTCTTAACATAGGATTTCATATATTCAAAGTTAACTACTGATTAATATATATACACATGGGCACAGTTAGAAGATATGAACATGGATGAAGCATCTGAGCAGGTGGCAGTGGAGTTGGCTGCACAAGGGGTTATCGGGAAGAGAGTTGATCAGATGGAGTCAGGATTTATGATGGCCTTGGATTACATGATCCAACTTGCTGAAAAAGACCAGGATGACAAGGTATCTTAACTTTCCATTGTCTTTTGATACTTTGGAAGAGGCATCTATCATCATTATCTTGATGGTTTCGTTTTTCGGTTGGTCAAATATTATAATCTTTTTCATAATCACACCATCTTCTTAACTAGTACAATCATTGATTTGGTTATCATTATTGTCATCATTTATAAAAATTCTGTTGTTGTCTATTATTAATTGAATTTGAATGTTGCAACAAGTCAGTATAACTATCATAATCATGGTCATGCTAGATGCCACGAGATGGGACTGATATGCTTTAGGCTAGGGCACAAAGTTCACCTTTCCCACTGCTGTCCGTCACTTCTGCTGTGAAAAGAGGTTTTCAGTTTGCAGGCTGGAGAGTAGGCCCCCTGATCAGTCTGAATACATAGGGATTGAGTTATTATATTGATCAGAACTACCCACTTCAAGAGATTACTACTAGTTGTCTCTTGTTAGTAGCATTGTATAGACTATCCAGAAGCAAGTGTCCATCTTCACACTAGGGTGTCTTTGTAAACAGCTTATATTCCTCATTTAACGATATCCATTGCAGACAGGATCCCTTCCTCTCTCTATCTCAGCCTCACTGCCTTGGTACCCAACACCATTTTATTATCTTAACCATAGTGTTGCTTGTGTTACCCTTTGAGTCATTTGTCAGTTCATGCCTGATTCAGTTCTAAGTATTAATCCTGTCTCCTGGATCTTATATGCTTTCACGTTTAAATGAATAACAAGTAACCAATTATTTATTGAATTCCATTAGGTATTTACGATTAAACAAGTATAAAAAATGAAAAAAAATAATGAAAAATTTATTAGCAAACCAGCAAAAACGGCTGTCATAATGAAGTTAGTTGCAAAATCTTTTGACAGTTATACGAATTCAATATTTCATTCCATCATGTGTATAATGTAATCATAAGGTTCTAGCATCTTTTTTTTTTTTTTTTTGTTGTTGTTGTTGGTTGGGGGGGGGGGGGGGGGGGGGGGGCTTTGTATTGCTTAGGTCATGGTAGCTTAGGTTTGCAGCAGGTAGAACCGTAGATGGATATTTTTATCCTGACTCTGGGACATTGATGGATGGTTGCCCCCAGACATATTGCTGATGCCAGTAACTACTATGGCAATCATGAGTGAGATGGGTGCTGTCCATGACCATATTGGGGTTTCTTTTCTCCTGTGTTTCATCTTTTTTGCTTCTTCGTCTCATACAATTATCACACTTTTTATTGTTTTAGCTTATATTTGATTGACTTGAAGCTCATTGCCTTTCTAGTAATTACATTTTATTCTTCTCTTCAGATAATTATGTTGTCACAGTATTTTAATCTTTCAATCAAATGTAATTGTGGACTTCAGTGATGAATTTTGACAAGTTACCATCTGTATTTGTCCAGCGTAAGTCACTCTTGGAGGTGATCAAGGAGACTGTGTTATCCCATCTTACAAAAAAGTGCCCCCCTCATGTAAGGATACTTTGCAAATAATTGATACTATTTTGGTCATTAGGTGAATTTAGTCTATAAGTTGTGTTAAATTCTATGTTTACAAGTTATATCTTTTTCTAGGTTCAAGTGATTGGGCTTCTCTGTAGAACACCCCAGAAAGAAAGCAGACATGAATTACTTCGCCGAGTAGCTGCAGGTGGTGGTGTATTTCAAAGCAAGAATGGCACAAAAGTTCAACTCCCAGGGGCAAACTTAAATGATATAGCTAATCAGGCTGATGACTTACTGGAGGTAATCACTAAAAAGGACATGCATGCTTCTCTTTGCAACTTTTGGTTCATAATCAAGCATGTAGAATTATAATATGTTATGAGAACATGGGGCTTATATTAGATAGTTTTATTTTGACCTTTTGAGGTTAAGATCATGTTTTGCTTATGTTGCCCGATGTGTGTGTGTGTGTGTGGGCTTGCTAGAGTACACATGGCCTTGTATCAGTGGGCCAAATGACACAATTCCCTTGTATTCTTGCCAGTCGATGTTGCTTGCATGCTAGAATTCCATAGATCAAATGACCAAATGAAAGCGAGGGAGGTCACTTTGTTTGTCCTTTGTTGTTTCAGAAGGGTCATACCGAACCATTGACTATTACTGTAGTTCTTGCTCTTGCTTTTTCGTTTTTTATTTTTTTATTTATTTTTTTATTTTTATTTTTATTTTTATTTTTCAATGCAAATGTAAAAGAAATGGTCAATATATAGTGACCATCCCTTCAATTCTGTGTGCTAGGAGTGGTAGACTAGGTTACCCTTGCTTTTTGTTAATCAAAGTGGCGGTTGACATACTTGAACCTGTGTTAGGAATATGAATCGTGTGTTAGCAATTTCCTACTCAAAACTTGGGATTTATTGTGTGTCAAAGTTATAAGTTGTTGTCCACAACCACATTAGTCTGAGTCGGGAGGGACTAGGTGATTCTTGGGCTAGAGGACTTAAGATTCTGGTGACTTAGTATGTAACTTCTTTCTCACATAGTGGATTTTGATCTTCTAGGACTAGGACCTGTGGTTTTTTTCCCATTTAGAGTTTTCCATGTAAAATTTTTGCGTCTTTGCCTTATTTTATTCATTGTTTTATATGTTTATGTGATTGCAATTGAGTCGAATAATCAAACTATTTAACTGAATTCTAAACAAAGATTATCTGTAATTTGAAAAGTTAGTTTCAAATAATATCAATAAGACTTATTCACCCCCTTCTAGGTGTAATTCACCTCTTTCAGATTGACTGTCCATAGATTTCACAACCCACTTTCTCATACTTGAACCAACGGTTTTACCGTTGCATTGAAGACACTGCCCCATTTTCTCTCTTTTGCATATTTTTCAGTAATATAGTTTACTATGAAATGCAGCCTAATAAAGTATTCCACAACCTGGACCTTTCTTCTTGTGATTTCATTTTCATTCTGTCAAACAGAGCTTGTTTTCTTGATGATTATAGTAGTAATGTGCAATGATTTATTCATGGTATATCTATTACCTGGATCACAAACCTTGTAGTTCTTCTTCTTCTTCTTCGAAAATGCTTGATTTTCATCATGGATCCAGTATTAATGCTTAAGTGGCTTTTTTTTTTTTTTCTTCTCAGTTACTGAACCATGGATATAAAGTTGGCTACACTTCGTTTCATTGGATGTTTTCCAATGGATTGTGAATCCAAAGTTCAAGTAATTGTATTCCATCACCCTATATTCAATTTTTTGCAGACAATGGAAACCCGGCCTGTTGTTCCTGATAGAAAGTTGCTTGCAAGGCTTGTTTTAATCAGAGAGGAAGCTCGAAATATGATGGGTGGTGGCATATTAGACGAAAGAAATGACCGAGGTTTGAATACTCTCCCTGAATCAGAGGTCTGTACTTGTTTATGCATTTGATTTCTGAAATGAATAATGAGATCCATCTAATTTTCAATGACTTGTCTTAGTTGTTTTAATGAACTATGTTAGTAAAGAATTTCCTCACTACATCTGAAAAACCACGGTGAACTGTTTTAAGTGTAAAATTTTCTTAATAAAGAGGTTACAAATGTTGCATCATCACAGGTGAACTTTTTGACTAAGCTTGTTGCTCTGAGACCTGGGAGAACTGTACATGACATGATAAAAAATGTAATGCAAGGAAAGGATGAAGGTGCAGATAACTCCGGCAGCGATGAGGAAAGTACTAGTGGTATGGTTTCTAGTGGTTTCACAGGAAGGGTAAGTTCTGCTACATTTGATGTAAGGATCGTCAGCATTGATATTTTGATTAAGTGACCCCTCTTGTTATGATTTCCAGGCTAGTGTTTCAGGACGCAGACCACTACCTGTACGTCCTGGCATGTTTCTTGAAACTGTTTCCAAGGTACTGCTCACTTCCACATATGCTCTTAGTTTAATACAGATTGGTGTCTAGACTGTTTCAAGCCCAGTGAACTAGAGTTTCAAGAATTGAATAGCTAAAAGAAAAACATAGAGAAGGACTCCACGTGTTGAACTTAAACCTAATCAGCTGTTAACAGATCCTCTATCTCACATGGGCTTTAACCTGCCTAGGTGCCAATTATTTAAAAATGAATTGTTATTCAATGTGATTTCCATATAAGCAATTGCTTGGAACATCCTCTACTTATTGCAAAAATAGGCATGGAATTTTGATCTACGCTGATCTTCCCTTATTTTACTGGGACTTGTTAGGTGTTGGGTGGTATATATTCTGGAAATGTCTCTGGTATCACAGCACAACATCTGGAATGGGTAACTTCTTTAATGCCTGACAGCGCTCATATCTTTCTGTTTTCGTGTCTCTTTGTGTGTGCATTCATGCGCGAGTGTGTATTTCTCCTCAAAATGAGGAACAATCTATATTTTCTCCTCAAAATGATGAGCAATCTATATTCTTATGATAATGTTTCATACCAAAGCAAATGTATATCCTTTCCAATATTCATGCAGAAGATTTTTGAATAGTTACAGTAAATATTTTAATATGACATGAATAAATAGGTAAAGTAAAGTAGCCGAATTGGTTTTGGTCTATGGATTGTAGTACTTGATTGACTCATCCATCTTTTGAATAAAAATCTGGTTGCCCTTTATCAACCCTTTGGCAATGTAAAGGTTGTAGTTTGTTTCCACTAGTCATAATGTGCAAGCAGTCTTGTTAAATCAAGTCCTGTATTAGAATCTAATTACCATGCTGTTGCTGATACCATGTTACTTTTCCAATAATTCACTCTTTAATCTTGCATTCAGGTTCATCAGAAGACGCTTCAAGTTCTTCAAGAAATAGCATTTTAAATTTTCTTAGGCAGGCACCAGAAGCTCCATCATTTCGTACACCCGTTTTTGAGCGTCAGGTTCAATGAGGAGACATATAGTAGGTCCATACTATCTCAACTCACAGTAATTTTTGACCTTTTTCTTCTACGAGTTTTACACTTATTGTGGACTATGTTAATATTTTCCATCGGTGCAATTATTGTTATTCCCTGCACATTGTCGAACTATCTAATATATATATGTGTGTGTGTGTGTATTCTCATTTTATTTCCAATAGTTGCTACTTCCAATGTTTTATGAATCTGCCCATTTCTTAGTTTATCATTTCTTGTATTTCCATGCAGGCATCACTTTTTGTGCATTTCAAGGCAGGGGCTGCAATAGCTATTGGATCTTTCTATTGGTATATGGACAACTATATGACTGATGTTATCCTCCAACTTTACACAGAGCCACAGGTTCATTGTACGAACATGTTTATTAGTTGTTTAACATATTGTCACATAACACGAGTAGTTTAATGATTTTGTAATAGATTTGTCTTTTCGGTATAGATCAATTGTACCAAGTTACTAGCATTCCATGTAACACATCTTGTCTTAATTATACGAGTAACTTCATTTTCAACCCCTTACTCATTTTAGCTAATCAAGTGTAAGTAATGAAACTAATCTAGTATTAGATTGGTGATGTAAAAAGAATGTGTGACCTACCCATGTAGGTTAGGAGGTTTAATTAGAACCCTAAAGACTAACCATTGTCCAATCCCATAGAGATCAAATGACTTGAGCCTTTCAATTCCAGCACCAGTTTAGATTATTGTTGTGTCCCATGTAGGTTGCGTCATTGTCACCTTGAAATAAAGCAAAGAGCATTGATAAAGTGATGCAGAAGAGGGTCAAGCATCAATATCACCTATCAACCGACCACCTTCTTAACCCTGCTTAATTTTCCTTTTATCTGTATTGATTTTGCTACTTGAAAAATTAATCTCTCTTTTTATATCGTTACTTGAAAGTTAGTTTCATTTCATTATTTAAATCCATTTTGATTAGAGTTGATCTTTGTTCAGTGTTCAATAATCTAGGTCTAAACAACTAGATTTGTGTCCACCGTTTATTTGATTGACAGTCCTTTTGAATTATGTTGTGCTTTGTTTTGCATCAACAGGACATGTGTTTGTTTGTTTACATCCATAATTATACTAAGGATATTAATTTTAAGTTACTAGTTCATTAATCAGAATCAATCAGTAAGAAATGAAAACGCCATTATTGTGTGGCATGTGCTTGTTTGTTTATATCCGTTATTATATTAAATTTGATATTTGTACCCAATCATCTATAAATCTTCTTACACTTTATAATAGAATTTTTGTAGTTTTTTTATTTTTTTATTTTTTTATTTTTCAATTCAATGGTTGGCTTGTACCTCATACTTGTCATGGGCACCAAGAATCAGGATAATTATAGGATTCAGGATTGTATTATGCACAGAACACCAAAGAAATAGAATAAAAAGCACAGGTGACAACATGGGTAAGGTAGGGTATCTTCCTGGGTCCAGCAAAAGATAGTGTTATAGACCCGCCCACACACAAAAACACACACAAAAACACACATTCACATTTGTATGGAGTTGGATGGAAGTGAATGCATTTTTGCTTTATAGAAAAAGGCAGAGCTCGTGGGAAAAAAAGTTGATGAATAATTGGAGAAATGTAGCATACCTTGCTGTAATTGCGTGTGGATGTCCGAACACTAAAATCATTAGCAGGGTCCTCCTACACGGATGAGATCACATTGCAGAACTACACATGACTTTCCACTCTTGTAATGTGATCTTCAATATCATCATCATCATTGCTTGTGATTGGGACATGGCAATGGTATGATTTGATGCATATTTGCCCTTTATTTTTTTTTTTCATCGTTCACATGTTACTAAGAATCATGTTAAACAACTTCCAAATGTGTACGTACGTCTTTGAATTTTCAATTTCTTTATTTATTTATTTTTATGTAGTTTCGATAAACTTACATCCATTCTAAAGCTTAAAAACACACGAATACGTATTTGATTCTCTAATTCTCCATTTCCGTTAAGTGAGGAAAAAAAAGTTGAAATGAAGGAGATGAAAAACATCATCTTTATTTCCTCATAATGTATGTATATTTTTAATTTTGTTTTATCCATTGAATAAAAATGTAAATGCTATTTTCTACTGAATTTTAAATTCCAATTTATATGGCTCATATGTAAAAGATGGTTTCAATATGAAATAAAATACTAGTATAAAGTATACGCAGATATAGTTATATTTATAACGTAATCTTTCTCTTGGTCCCGGCTTTGTCTGCCATGCTTTGATGTTTGTACAAACCCACGTGCTACCATTTTTAGTACAGTACCTCATAGCTTTAAATATTCTAAGGTTTTAATTACATTTTTGTACATAATTATTTACTGTATTTAGGCTTGATGCTATCAATTTGAGAACCTGTATTATGGAATTTATTTAGAAAGTGTCTAATGGTTAGGTTTATATTTACTTTATTCCTCCTAACATTATGGTATAACATTTTTTTACATCTGATAGAAATGTTTCTTTTGTGTCACAACAAAATGGCGAACACTGACACGAATTATCCTATGTTTGAATGATCAATTTTCCTATGTGTGTATGTGTGTGTATATATATATATATATATATATATATATATATATATATATATAGGTATATGTATATATTTTCCCTTTCTCATTTTTGCTTCAAAGTTTCAAAATTGGTTTCCTTTCTTTTTTTCTCGTGTTGTCGATATTTTATAGCATCGTTGTTGCACTCAAGTTTTATATGTGATTGAAAAGGCAATTTCTTATGAAATTTTTTTTTTCAAATTAAGGAAAAAATATTTTTTGAAAAAGTATTTGTTTCGAACCTTTTCTCACCAAAAATCATTAAATATAATGAATTCATGGTAACTAGGCTCCTTAATGGCCGTTTACATGGTGGGTCCAATAGATTGGAGTCCTTGGTTATTGATACCAAAGCCTTTCAATAATTGATATTTTTGAATGTAATTTAGATCAGTATTTTTTATTTTGGAGAAAAACTTATTCTATGGTGAATTAGTAATGATTAAAAAAGACGAAGTAATGATTCTATTCTTTTAGGGAAACCTACTATGTTAGTGACTATTAGAATGAATATAAATTATAACACATATTGAAAACATTTAATGGTTATCTTACAAATGTCATTGTTATTATTATTTTTTTAAATGGTGAATTTTTTTATTTTTTTTTTCCCCTCAAATGGAACTAACAATTAATTAAATACCTAAGTGTTTCGTTGATATGACTATGTCTCGCACATTTTTAAGACGTTAATTTCATTTAAGTTATATTTACAATTATTGAATTAGAATTTTAGAATTGAAATTAAAGAAAATTTAATTTAAAATATATTCAATTTTAATTTCAAGGAGTCAACATGCATTGTAGCAATGGAAAAAAAAGTAATTCCTTCATCCCAATTTAAATATTGCTTTATTTTTAAAGAGATATGCGAGACATGCATCGTAGGTTGAAATTTTAAATTCTAAAGACATATATGAAAAAATATAAAATATATTGTTTGAGAAAGAAAAATGAATAATTATTTTGGAATAACCCAAAAAAAAAAACAGAGTAAGAAATTTTTTGTTTGGACGAGAGGGAGTATATTGTTAATGATCCAAGAAGTGTTATTTTCTTCTAGGAAAGATTTTTATTTATTTTTTTCTTCTTTATTTTTATTTTTATTTTTATTTTTTTCGGTTCTTCTTTATGACACAACTGGACTAAAATAGGTTGTTAATTACGTATTTGGACTTGTTCAATTTAGTTCAAATGCTTTCTTAAATTCTTAGTTTTAAGTTGTTGGTAATGTCACCTCAAACCTTGTGTGATCCATGAACTTTTTGAAAAGCGAACGGTCTTTCTCTTCGTGGGGCTCACAATTTCGAGATGACGATATTATCCCTCTGACGTCCATGTGACAAATCGAAATTTGAAAGCAATGCCACATTTAAGCTTATCTTCTTCTTTACGGTGGAATTATATTATACACGTAGATATACACATTTGAGAGATTAAAAATAAATAAATAAATAGAAAAGAAATTCGAAAAAAATGAGTACTCCAAGCTCTCTGCCATAGAAAAAAATGAAGGAAACTTGTAATTTATTTTACCTCAAATTTATATAGAGTTAAGTTTATTTGTATTAAAAAGGAATCACGATTATAATTTAATGATACCTTTTCATATTTAAAATAAAAAGAAAAAAATTGAAGTACATGTAGTAGTAATATACGGAGTAATTGTGTGAGTTTTTTCTCGGGATCAAAAACAAAAAAATAAATAAATAAGTTCGAAGTGTTGATATTATTTTCGGGTTGTAGAAAAGGACTTTAAGGATATGGGTAATTTCAAATCTATCGGTGGGCCCACGAAGGATGGCCGTTGCCGCCTTGGGCTTTGCCAATTGGGTGTCTTCCGTAGTGGGTGAGTGGTTCAAGTAAAAAGTGGATTGGAAGTTTTGTTTGAAAACCCAAAAAAGCTCACATCACGTGAGTTGCTTCCCTTCTTTTAAATGAACTAAAAGACGTTGGGTGATTTAATAAGACTCAGAGATCTCTTACCCTTTACCCGAAAAAAAAAAAAAAAAAAAAAAAAAAAGAGATTCTTTTTCTTTTTTAATAAAAGAATAAAAGAGAGAGAAGAGTTCGGTCTTAATATAGCGGTTACTAATAGGGACAATCTGGTCATATTTTGAATTCGCAAATAACTTTTGTAATTCTGACAGCTCGGCTCCGTCCCCAGTGTGTTTGCTCACTTGGTACAAAACTTGGAGAGAGAAAGATATTGAGAGATTGAACTCTCTCTGTTTATCAGAGAGAGAAAATCTGTTTAGAGAGAGAAAGAGGAGATTGACGAAAGAGAGAACTGTTTTTCTGGAGAGAGAGAGTTGTTCGTTGTATATCAGAATCAAAATGGCTGGTTATATTGGAATCTTGGTATCAGATCCATGGCTTCAAAATCAGTTCACACAGGTCGAGCTTCGGAGTTTGAAGTCTCAGGTGAGTCTCCCAAACACTTCACTTCAATTTCCGATTTTATTTTATGCAAATCTGTGATCTCCACCTATTCGATCTTGATCACATTCTGAATCTTGCATGGTGGCGATGACGATTGGCTTCTTTTGCAGTACATGACAATGAGAAGAGAGAAGGGTTGTCTCACACTCGGCGACTTGCCGGAGAAGATGTCGAGACTGAAACACGTCGGTGAGAATCTTACGGAGGAAGAGAGGGCTTCTTTTCTTCAAGATTCGTATAAGAACTTGGACGAGGATGTTGATTTCGAACTTTTTCTTCGGGTGAGTGAGCATACAGAGAGTAGAAACAAAAAAATGTAAGAGAGAGAGACAGGAAGCACTTTTTATCATATTTTTGAAATGTTAATCTCATGAAACTTGAATCTGATTGCCAAGAAAATGCTGGAAAAAATCATTTAAAATTTCTGGATCGCTTAATACAATTATTTCCCTTACTAGACCTGAGTTTCTAAACAACAAATAAAACATAAGATTCAAAATTTTGTTGGGTTGTTTTTCTACAGTTTTTAAAATTTAGGATTTAATTCTTCCAATTTTTTTGGAGTGGATTTCAATTAAGTTGCCCAGTGTCCTTTTTACTTTTCTATTCTTCAGTTTTTTTTTTTTTTTTTTTTTTTGCAACCAAGTAATGGTTCTACACGCTTTATAAATTCTAGAGGTGGTTTTTATTTCTGTGATTAGACTGAGAGTTTTATGATGTAATGGCAGGTTTATTTGAAACTCCAAGCCCATTCAACTGCGAGAACGGGAACTGGTGCAAAGAATTCATCCGCATTTCTTAAGTCTCCTACTTCTACTCTGCTTCACACAATTAGTGAATCTGAGAAAGCTTCATATGTTTCGCATATCAACAACTACCTTGCAGAAGATAGCTTCTTAAAGAGACATCTTCCCATAGATCCTTCAACTAATGATCTCTTTGAGATTGCAAAAGATGGAGTTCTTCTCTGGTGATCACCCGTCCTTTGTTGTACCTGTTGCACATATGAACATATATACATATTATATATATATAAAATATAAATGTTGTCTCTTTGTGTGTATGTATATATTTATATACATTTCTTTCATATTATTGGGTTAAGTTCTTAGAAGCATTTTTATCGGATACAGTAAGCTTATCAACGTGGCAGTTCCTGGGACAATTGACGAACGGGCAATCAATACTAAGAGTGTACTCAATCCTTGGGAAAGAAATGAAAACCATACCTTATGTCTCAACTCTGCCAAGGCTATTGGCTGTACAGTGGTCAATATAGGCACCCAAGACTTCATTGAAGGAAGGGTATGTATAGTATAAATGCTCTGCTATTGATAGAAAATCATTATATCTTGCTTATATTTGGACTAGTTTACTTGATATTCTGTTTGGGAACCTGCCAAGTTTGAATTCACTTTCATACTTAAGAACCTCCTTCTGGAGCATTAAACCAATTTGTCTGATATCCTATGCCATGTGGTCCAAAGGGGAAGGCCTGCAAGGTTCAGTGTTGTTTTTAGTCACCCAGAAGGCGAATATTGCTGCAACTCTTTCAATTCCAATATAGGTTTTTTTGATGTAATAGATTGCAGATTCTATATTTTGTTATAAATTATTCACTAGTTACACATTTCATCAGTTAGTAAATGTCATTAGTTTAGTGCAGTTTGTTCACTGGGTAGCTGGGTCTCTGTGTGCTATCCAATCTGAAGAGAACCTGTATTAACAGGTCAAAAAGATTCGCCCCTTTTATTAGTCATTAACGTGACTGATTTGTCTAACCTGATTACTGCTAGAACTATTTTTAAGAAAACAAATATATAAAAATATGAGTGAGTTACATTATATAATTAATAATCCGTTCATTTGCAACATGTTTTACTAAAGGTGTTGAGCCAAAGCCTTTTCAGTCTTTAATTCTTCTAATTTTTGTCCATTTCTACCTCACACTGGATTATATCAAGTTTGATTGTCTACGTTATTTATTCTCAATCAATTAGTTTTTGCAATTCTGTTATCAATAGTAATGTTTTTCAATTTTGTATGCATTTCAGCGTCATCTCATGCTTGGGGTGATTTCTCAAATCATTAAGGTAAGATTTTTTACTTATCCACTTAACTGAATTTCACACTTGCATTGAATTCGCAATTGTGGTTTGTAAATTTTATACGTATGCTATAAGAGATCCAAGTATAGAATGAAAGCACTATTAGATTTCAGATCCTTGGAGCTGATATAGACTGCTATGTAGCATTATACTGTGTGTCTCAAATAGTTTGACCTATAAAATGTATGCTATTTCAGATACAACTATTGGCGGACCTCAATTTAAAGAAAACACCTCAGTTGGTGGAGTTGGTTGATGATAGTAAGGTGATGCTATGCCCTTTTTTCAGCATTGTCATTGGCCCCTTTTGTCAGAATTGATTAGTAATGGTATAACGATATTAGTCTCACAATTTATTCGACAAATATTGTATTATATATGAATCTATCAGGATGTGGAGGAGTTGATGAGTCTACCACCAGAGAAGATCTTGCTTCGGTGGATGAATTTTCAGCTGAAAAAAGCAGGATTCAAGAAAACCGTCTCAAACTTTTCTTCTGATGTAAAGGTATATTGATTTTGATTGATTTTTTCTCTTATAGTTATGTCATTTTCATTCTTATTTACCTCAATTCTTCTTTCCAGAACGGCGGAACCAATATACTATTGAGTGTTGAATTGTGAATTTATGTTTCTTAAAATTTGTCAGTTTCTCTTTTCTTTTGGAATAGTTCCTTTTGTTTGATGACAATTTTTTTTTGTCTGATGACTTGCAGAGCTCTGTAGGCTTGTGTATATATTAGACTGAAGAAAAGATTAAGAATATATTATATATCAATATATCATGTCATTTCAGTACTTGAATACATTCTTAGAGATAGAAGTAATAATGTGTTTATCGTTTGAGTGTAACTGAAATGTGAATTTATGTTTCTTAAAATTTGTCAGTTTCTCTTTTCTTTTGGATGAGTTCCTTTTGTTTGATGACAATTTTTTTTTGTCTGATGACTTGCAGAGCTCTGTAGGCTTGTGTATATATTAGACTGAAGAAAAGATTAAGAATATATTATATATCAATATATCATGTCATTTCAGTACTTGAATACATTCTTAGAGATAGAAGTAATAATGTGTTTATCATTTGAGTGTAACTGAAACGATTCTTAAAAATAATCAGGTTAAGAAAGTTCAAAAAATAAGGAAAACAATCAAAAGGATTTTAAAATACGGCAAGTCAAGCCTTGAGTATAATCAAACTACTGATAATTTAGAATATCTATTACCATGGATGCTGTAATTGGATAAAATCTTCTAAAAACTTCAAAAACCAAAAAAAAAAAAAAAAAACACACTAGAAAACAAAAAACAAATAGTAGAAAAATATGCTGTTCAAGATGATTGATTGACAAGTATAATCAAACTACTGATAATTTAGAATATCTATTACCATGGATGCTGTAATTGGATAAAATCTTCTAAAAACTTCAAAAACCAAAAAAAAAAAAACAAAACACACTAGAAAACAAAAAACAAATAGTAGAAAAATATGCTGTTCAAGATGATTGATTGACAAGTGAACATTTTACTGTCATTGGTGCTGTCTCTGTTCTAGATGCAATAATCCAAGGGAAACCAGTTAAAATTTGCTATTCGGTTTCATTCTTTTTTCTAATTTTATTATTCATAAAATTTGAAAAGCGGATTTCAATATTATTTCTTTATATTCTCCTTATGGGTTAAACATTTATCACAAGACTACTTTTCAATAGTGTTGCACCCCATATCATCTGGGTATTGGGTCCTCGTGCTATTGACACAGTGATTCCATTCCTCGAGATGGATGGCTATCTCCCTTACCATGACAAAGATACAATCATTTTCAACATCTCATCTTTTTGTATATTTTGTTTATTATCTTGTAAAGAGCTAAGCATTTGGAGGGGAAACAGGTTTACCCAAGAATTTAGTTACCAAGTGTTTTAGCATTTACAGTAATTATTAATAGACTCGCTGAACCCACAACTTAACTTTAGTGCTTAGTGTATTAACAACTTACATAGCTTGGTAATTTACTCAATGAAAACAAACATTGCTAGTTTCTTTTGCTTTTCATCTCCTGGCAGATGGTTTTACACGAATTCTCAATTAAATTCGCATAGGTGTAGTAAAGTGGGTTGACTGTAGGCACCCTCTCCTCCCCACTCTCTTCCCAGTCTTATTGTCATCTGGGTTTCTTGCATGCTATATTTCATGATCTGCTGGTGAGTGGTGACTATCTATATTTGCTTTTTTTTCTCTTTCTATAACTGTTACTGAACTAGCTAAAGAAATGTCTATATTTGCTTTTTTTTCTCTTTCTATAACTGCTACTGAACTAGCTAAAGAAATGTCTATCCGTTCTTTTAGTTTAGTTGGAAGTAAATTTGTTAACTTTTTGTTATTTTTGTTTTCTTGGTAGATTTCCAATAACTAGTTCTTTTGAAAACATTAGATAATCCAAAAACTATTCCTTTTAGTGTTAACGGCTTTATCTATCAAGTTCTTTTTAATTTTCCCTGTTAGTATCTGTTTATTCATTATGCACCCTTGGTATGAAGGAGTTTGGTTTTACATTTTCCATATAGTTTCATTTGCTTATGGGAGCTGAATAAGTATATAATTTTTCTTATTTATTATATATGCCTACAATGAAAAACAAGGATTGGTGTAATGGTATGTCCAATATTTTTCAAGTTATGTTAAGTTTAAATGTGTTATTCAAATAATGCTAATATTTGAACATATAAAATGCTTACCCTGCAGGATGGAGAAGCTTATGCTCACCTCTTAAATGTTCTTGCACCTGAGCACAGTAATCCATCTACATTGGCTGTAAAAGATCCTTTAGAAAGAGCGAGGTTAATTCTTGAACATGCAGATAGGATGGGTTGCAAGAGATACCTAACTGCAAAAGATATTGTTGAAGGTTCTCCAAATCTTAACCTTGCTTTTGTGGCACATATCTTCCAGCATAGGTAAGAGTGGAGCCAACTGACCTTCTTTTCATGGGAAACAAAATCTATTTTGAAATGATTTCTTTTTGGGTTTTGTTGTTATATACTTTTGTTAATTAGAATAATCTTTTAATATAAAAACAAATAGTAGTTTTGGTAGATACAACTATCATGCATTTAGGCATTACTTCTTGGAATGTTGCAAGCCTCAACACATTCATGCACATAGAGAATAACTTTGTTCCATTTACATAGCTATCTTAAATTATTTCATGGAATTAAGAGTTGTATATGGTCAAAATCCTTTCACCCACTCCCCCGAATAACTTTTTTCATTTGTTTGTTAAATGTTTAGCCTGTTCTCAATATTTATGATTCATTTGTTATTTTCCCGTTATTTTACTTTAATTATCTAATAAGTGTTAAATGATATACAAAGCTAACTTAGTTTTTACCTGCAGGAATGGCCTCTCAACCCAGACGAAACAGATATCTTTTCTAGAAACTTTACCAGATGACACCCAAATTTCTAGAGAAGAGATGTCATTTCGCTTTTGGATAAATAGTCTTGGAAATTCAACATACATCGACAATGTCTTTGAAGACCTTAGAAATGGGTGAATACAATCCTTATTTGCAATATATAACCCAAATTTACTCTTCATATATAATTAGTGTCAATGTATTTTTAGAATTCCTTAAAGAAATTTACAAAAATGATCACATTGTTTATTTTAATTTAAGTCTCACTATCAAATACCCTGTTTGAAAGGTTGAAATTCATCTAAGCTCTGAAATATTGGAAATTTTCTTATGATTAAAATTAAATAAAGGTCTTCCAAGTATAACAGTTGCTCCAGGATGTATTTGCTTGATTATTATCTGTTGTATTTATTTTATTTATTGAAGCAAAATTTCTATTTGTCTGCAGGTGGATACTTTTACAGACCCTTGATAAGTTGTCTCCAGGAATTGTTAATTGGAAGATTGCAAGTAAGCCTCCAATTAAAATGCCATTCAGAAAAGTAGAAAACTGCAACCAAGTTGTCAAGATTGGGAAACAATTGAAGTTTTCCCTGGTTAACATTGCTGGGAATGACATTGTTCAGGGAAATAAGAAACTAATATTGGGTATGTTCTTTACTTTGACTGTCACAAGTTTAGTAGATATTATTGTGAAAGCTTTTGATGTATTGTAAATTTGTAATAAATGCTTTGGGTGGAATGCTTGGACTTCCTTTTTCAGCTTACTTGTGGCAATTGATGCGATACAACGTTCTGCAGCTTCTAAAGAACTTGAGATTTCATTCTCATGGGAAGGAAATCACTGATGCTGACATTTTAGAGTGGGCTAACACCAAAGTAAGGAGTTCGGGAGGCCAGACCCACATGAATAGTTTTAAGGTATTGTATCTATAGTTTTTCTGATAAGGATATTGAATATATAGTTGTTCTTTCATATATAATTATGTTTGCTAGAAGGACATGATTTTAGATTTTGAGGTTAAAGTCCAAGACTCCAAATGCTCTGGTAGAGAAACAGAGTGGTTGCTTTTTACCGAAACCTTGGGCATAGCTGTAGCTTAAACTGGGTGCTTATTTTGCATAATGTGTATATATAAATATTTTTTTATTGAACGGAGTGGATCAATGCCAGTAAGTGTGGCTGTTGCTGCTCCTTGTGTGATAAGTTTGAGTTTGTTCATTGAGTGAAATTTAGATAGTTGGTTGACATTGCGAAGCAATATATCTTGAAGGATTGGCATGATGATTGAATCGGATAGCAACATGATTGAATGACATAATCCAATTGCAGTTATTTCCTCTAAATAGCAGGTGAATTATGCCAGAAGTTCAGGAAATATCTAGATATAATAATAATGATCGGAACTCTTCAAATTCCAACCTAATTTATATTCTTGGTGATGTTCATTGGGTGAAGTTGCTGATGGTCTGTACAAATGGGTGAACCAAAGTATGTAAATGCCATAATTTTTTTTATTTTTATGGATTTCAAAGACATGACCCTCTTTTTTAGGCTAAACATCTGAGCAGGATTATCATATCAACATGGCAACTCCTGGATCTCATTGCGTGATTTTAATCTGACTGGGTGTCCTACACTATTTTAGACCCCTACGACTATTTTTTATATTGGTTACTGACTTTTTCTTCATGGCTCTTCGTTTATATGTGCAATCCTTTGTTAGTATGTAAATGCCATAATTTTTTTGTTTTTATGGATTTCAAAGACATGACCCTCTTTTTTAGGCTAAACATCTGAGCAGGATTATCATATCAACATGGCAACTCCTGGATCTCATTGCGTGATTTTAATCTGACTGGATGTCCTACACTATTTTAGACCCCTACGACTATTTTTTATATTGGTTACTGACTTTTTCTTCCTGGCTCTTGTTTATATGTGCAATCCTTTGTTATTATTGTCAATGAAGTACATTTGAGAGTGTTATTCTCCTTCAGCAACTGAATTTGCTAGATGCTATCATTTGTTCATGATATTAGTTTGGTGTTATATGCTTTAAAGTTTAGTAATGATAAAAATGAAGTTCATTAATTACTATTTCAATTTTACAGGACAAGCGCTTGTCAGATGGCATATTTTTCCTTGAGCTGCTTAGTGCTGTGCAGCCTAGAGTTGTCAATTGGAGTCTTGTAACAAAAGGAGAAAATGGTATGTCTTTATTTAGATTTACATCATCAAAGCTTCTGTAGTTTGTTGAATACTATTTCTTATTTGTTGTGAATCTTGTGATGACCCAGTTGTTGGGGATTTGGGGTACAACACATCTATAGCACTCGGTCTATGTTTGAATTAAAAAAGAACACAAAAAATACCATGTCAAATTCAACATAAGGCAAAATTAATTTCACCAATCAATCAAGTCTCAAAACATGAACAATAAAACAAGTAATCATGCATTCAACAAATATTCAACCATGCAAGAACACCAAGATTTACATGGGCTACCCTTGAATTAAAAGAAATATATATATATATATAGCAAATTTGGATAAAGTACACTATCTTAGATATGAAGAATTCAAATTCTATCGAAGTTTATGCCCAAAACTTGAGGCATTACATTTTAAGGAGACAGTATGAGGGTTATCGCTTATGTAAAACCATCTGTTTCTTAACAAAAATCAGAAGTTTTCCAAACAAATTGGAGAAGACACAAGTTAGGGCGTTCTTCATCTAAAGGCTCTTGAACTTGTCCAAGTCAAACTCCTCTTATTGTGGGTAACTCTGGGAGACTATGTCCTTCTATTTGATTTAGAAACCGTGGTGGAAAAGCTGGATGAAATCCCTTAAAGGTTTCGAGAACAGAAAATAGTTTTTAGATAACTATAATGAAAGACTCTTGTCAGGAATCAACTTTTAGAAACTGTCAAGCAGATGAATTTTCAAGCTATTCTATATTTTCACTTTGGGAGACAAAAAAATATATATATATGGACCAAGCTAGGGAGTTCTCCCTAGACTCCTCGCTACACCTCACAGCAATTGTGTTGATTCTAATCTGCTTCTTATTGACTATTGTATAAACGGAAAGTTGGGTCGCGCCTTCTGAACAATTGGAGCTGGTGCAAGATTCTTTGTTCTGAGATAGAGAAATTATGCATCCCCAAGTCTTTGTCATGCAGATTGAACTCTTTTTTTTCCTCCTAATGTATCGCCTACGTATCTGCTTCCAAATTCTCCCAGACTAATTGCACCATAAAACAGTGTTCAAATGTTGACCTTAATTAACGAGTTATCACCATGACACTCATCATAGTCAAATAGGTCAACTGTCCAAAGAACTTCCAGCCACCAACCAAGAATTTTCAACCCTGAAAGACAACATATACAAGGAAAATGTTAGAATTGTTTTGGTTAACGTGAATCTTGGTTGGCATCAATAATTTATTTGAAGATGGTGGAGTAACTTGTACAAAATGAGGAAAAAAAGAAAACAATTGTGAAAATCAAAGGAACAAGGACTTGGATTCATTTTCTTATAGATGCACTAACCTGAAAGACAACATATATAATAAGGAAAATGTTAGAATTGTTTTGGTTAACGTGAATCTTGGTTGGCATCAATAATTTATTTGAAGATGGTGGAGTAACAAAATGAGGAAAAAAAAGAAAACAATTGTGAAAATCAAAGGAACAAGGACTTGGATTCATTTTCTTATAGATGCACTAACCTTTGTGTGAGCCTCAAGCATGCTTTATAAATTTTGAGAGTAGAAAACAATTGTGAAAATCAAAGGAAAAAGGACTTGGATTCATTTTCTTATAGATGCACTAACCTTTGTGTGAGCCCCAAGCATGCTTTCTAAATTTTGAGAGTAGCCCAATAGAATGGACATTACTAGTGCGTGATCCCATTAATAGTGGCTGGTTACCTCTTGAAGTATGAGCAGGTCTGTCCATAATGTTTCTTCAGTAAATTGGTGTAATGTTAATAAAAAATCTGTGATGTTTACTGTCATTTTTTTTGTCCTCTATGTTCATTTCACTTGTAACATGCTCGAAAATGAATTTTCTTTCAATGTAGAGGAGCAAAAAAAAATGAATGCCACTTACATCATCAGCATTGCGAGGAAACTTGGATGTTCAATATTTTTGCTTCCTGAAGACATAACTGAGGTATTGATGTTTGAGAATTGTAACTCGTACAAACACAAAAAGTTCATGGAGTTTTAGAGATTAATTTGCTCATCTTCAAATTATATGTTTGTTTGTTCAGGTGAATCAGAAGATGATCCTTACACTGACGGCAAGTCTTATGTATTGGTTCCTGAAACAACCTGGTGAAGATAGATCTTGTGGGACTTCAGATAGTGAGAGTGGAAGTCAATCCGAGACAACTTCAAACTCAACAATAGATGACACTTCCTCTGAGTCATCAACAGACGATAATGGGAGTAGATAAATGTGTGATGCTAAAACTTATGCTAAAGTTATATATATGAATTCTTTGATTTTGATTTTGATTTAAAGAAAAAAAAAATGTTCATGTAAAATGGTGTATGAAATTGATACAAAGTGGAGTGTCATGAATGCAAATTTTGCTGAAGCAAATGCACAAGTAAATAGGTTTGTAATCGTGTTTTGTACCAAAAACTGATGGAGTAAAATCTAAAATTCTGTTCTTTTGCTAGGTTATTCATGTGGTTGGCATCTACTGCTTTTGGAAATACTTTACACAATACATAATACTTGCTTCCCAAAATTTTATGTTTGTCAATCCGCAGACATGAGGTCAAGTGGAGTCTTAAAATCAAAGAAGATGTTACAAAACAGTCGACAAATTTAGAAAATTCACCGTTCTCTTAACGAGTTTGTGGTCCACTAGGAATCTCAAGGGTTTGTGGTTTGGTGGCTTGAACCAAGTGATTAAAATATTACCACGAGTCTATTCATTTCAGCTCTAAAATATTTTTCATTTTTTGGTAAATTTAATGACTTGAATTTATTGAGTGAAATATGTAAATAACTTGTCCAAAATTGATGAAAATTTATAGATTTCTTAATGGCATGCAAATCCCGCTCAGACTGCTCAGTGCACCATTTGGCCATGTCACTTTACAAACGGAGAAATATATTTTAGTCCTTCATGAGAAGTCCTTCACATTGATTGACATAAGAAATGCGTCTAAAGCAACATTAAAGGAAGCTATAAATGGTATTGAATTGTGATCAATAATTCAATCAATTTGATTGATTTCGAAAGAAACTTGCATGCGCACATAATGGATTAGTGCTAATAAAGTTTTAATCTCGTGTAACCTTAAGTTATTAAATTATTCTTATTGAACTATTTTATAAAATATATAAAAATAAATAATTTTATAAAATGATATTATTGGAGGATACAGACAATGGACAAGTAAAGATAAAAATATAAAATAAAATTAAAAGTATAAAAGAAAAGTAAAAATAAAAATAAAAATAGAAAACAAAAAACAAAAATAAAGTGCAAATTAAAGAAAACAAAAATTTTTCAAACTCTGAAAAACCAGCGCACACTGATATTGAGAAATTTTTTTTTTTTTTTTTTTTTTAAAAAAAAAAATTTAGTAGAAAAAAGTAAATTGGAATCTCAAAAAAAATTCAAATCCTTGTTTTAAAAATTGTCAAAGTTTTTTTAAAAATGTTTAGAGATATATATAGAATTTTTTTTAAAAATATATATATATATATATATATATATATATATAAGGTAATGTGCACATAGCACCCTTATACTATGATATTAGTAGTATTTATATCCCCTTAAGCATTTTCAGAAAAGTAAAAAGGCAAAACGGATATTACAACACTAATTTATATTAGAGGGGTATTTTTGCACAATGTGAAAAAATTAAGAGTATTTTTTACACACTTTTTCAAATAAGGATTAAAATGCTAAGCGAAATATATTTTAGGAGTATATTTTACACTCATCCCATATATATATATATATATATATCTCTCTCTCTCTCTCTCTCTCTCTCTCTCTCTCACTAGCCCAATTTCAAGGCTGGCAACTTAATTATGCTGTCATAAGTTAATTTAGTGGTCCTAACAAAAGATGCAAGCATGTGGATTTGCTTATATGAACATAAGCATAATTATGAGGTTAGTTAAGAAGGCTTAATCTTAAAGGTTTTGATGTATATCAATCTATAGGCAAGCTAGGCCTACCATGTTCTTCTTTTGCCATTGAAGCCTACCACTTAAAATAATAGCTTAGCCTTCATTTGCATGTCTGTTTCTTTGTTCTTTCCAAGTTATCCATCTACTTTGTTAATCATGATATTAATAGTAAGTTGCAAAACAAATCCACATGTTTCTCAATTTATTGATTTTCACTTATACAATATATAAATATGTATAATTATATATACATGCACAAATATATATTTAAATTATGTTTGGCAGACATGAAATTGATTAGAGCATTGGAATTGGAGAAAATCAACTAAGAAAATTGAACTACTTTTTTTTCTTTTTTCTTTTTTTTTTTTTTTTTAATTACCAATTCTAATTTCAAGGCTCTAACTCCATGCCAAACACAACATTAGATTTCTTACATGTTGGCAAGTTAGAGACTACGGTGATGTAGCGTGAAATAATTCATACACTATTTTTAGTTCTATGGAGTTGTTTAAGAAGTTTGGGAGTAATCATACCATGATACCATATACCAACCATGCAGTCTAGTGATATATATATACCTCTTAAAATGAATAATGAGGATTCGAATCTTCAAAATAGTAAAGTAAAAATATATAAATGATGTAAGTTTCTCGTCCAAAAAACCAAAAAAAAAAAATCAACGACTACAACCGGCTCAAAAAGGTGCTAACTTACTAGCAATTGCGGATACAAGGTCCTATCTTCCCCAAGTTACTCTCATTATCATTATTTTCAATTTAATAAGATAGATGATAAATGCACTCTCCTTTTAATCAAATGTTTTTTTTTTTTTTTTGAATGACCAATGACTTTCTCTTTTTAAGATTTGGACAAATTCTATACCATAGACATTTGGCCTTTATTATTTTAACCCTCAGTAAAAATGTGCAATATTTTTCATACCCTTATCTAATTTAATAATAAAAAATTTCTCAAATCAAAAATCTTTATTACCCTTTTTATTTGTCCCCCCAACACCCACATCTTGTAACCACTTCATAATTTTTATTTTTATTTTTAAAAGAAACCTAGTAAAACCTAATATATCAAATGTCATTATATATATATATATATATATATATATATATATATATATATATATATATTTGTAAAATTTAATACTCTGTAATATCAAATTAGTAAAAAATTGATACTATATTTCAATAGCATTTCATGTAAAAATAAATATAAGATTATTGAGATTTTTTAATACAAAATGACAATTTAGTCATTTTTTGAATTTTCATTAACATCAAGGAGGTGTCATTGGGTATAAGTGTCAAATTTTAAGGGAGGTCTATTGTGTATAATTTATCAAATTTTAAGGGAGGTCTATTGCGTATAATTTATTCAAACTTTACGAATAGTATCAAAAAATTTATAAAAGTTTATTCTCTTTTACGTGTCAGTGGTCTTGTCACGTACCATGCTGGTGCCCGAGCAGCATGATTAAGTGCGTGCTGGTGAGAATTGTTAGTTCCATGCTATAATGAGAAAGATTTATATGATTTTCTTTGATTTAATCTGTTAGAATATATATTCTAATGGTATATAGGTTTGCTTTTTATAGAATTATAATTATGTATTTATGGTTTACTTATTTATCATACATAATCTTTCTTATATAAACCACTCTTATATACATCTAAAAAACATCAATATACAATACAAAGTTCTCTCTTTTGTATTTAACATAATCATTGGTAGAGTCTTTATTGAAACTAAAAAATTTAGACCATATTTAATTTGTAATTCTGAAAACAATTGGAGAACGATAAAATATTATTCTCAAAACTAAATCAAATAGAATTTTTATACAATTTTTTTTTTTCAATTTTTTTTAAACTGAAAACACCAAGCATGCCCTTACTATTTTTAATGCAACCCGTTTTCATCAAGCAAAACAATGATTTTCTAATATCAAAAGGCAATTAATTAAACATTGATGATATGTAACCAATAATTAGAAAAGTCTTCGTTGTCATCTTCTCAACCGACACTTTTAAGAATTTTATTATTAAAACTTCAGTCAAATCCTTCAAATTCAAAAGAAAATATTTCACATTTTGGTGGAATACAACTTTTTTTGTAACTTCTCATTTACTATTTATTTTGTTTAGTATATAGTGAAAGAAAGGACAAGAAAAGGGTAAAAAGGAAATAAATATTTTCCCACATACTTAAATAAGATAAAAGTAAAAATAAAAAAGCTTTTGGGAAAAAAAAAATCAACCATTAAAAATGAAAATTAATGTAACATGTAAAATTAAAGTTTTCTCCTTCTCTCGTTAATTTTTTAAAATAAATTTATGATAAAAATATTTTCACCCATCTCACTTCCTCACTCCTCGTAGACATTAGACCCTGAGGCTGTGAGATTAGCCTAATCCTATCGACCCAATAATTTAATAAAGAAAAAAAAAATAGCAATTATCTTTTTTATTTTATCCTCTTTTCTTTTGCATAACATTTTTTTCCTCAGTAAATCCTTGAACTAAATAAACAATTTTTAATTTGTAAGTTTCGAAAAGTTGATATATAAATAAAGTATGTATCATTATCCCACCATGGATGGTACCAAACCTATAGCTAGAACTATTGTATCAAACTTATCAATGAATTTCTTGTCAAATAAGAATTTTTTTTTTGACAAGAAAAAGAACAGCCATACCGCATTTACTCTTTGTTGAGGCTTTATGTGTGATTTTTAATAATGTCATTTCTTTTCTTAAGGTTTATAAGGGTGTTTCTTTGACTTTAGATGTCTCGATAAGGCAATGTGGTTGCTCATTTGCTTAGTAAAAAAGTTCAAGTGCAGGATATGACCCGAATGGCTCTTAAACGCTCTTCTCCTTTATTGTATTTGTTCTTCTTCTTAATATATCGTTGCTTTGATTTGGTAAAAAAATAATAATAATTTTGGACAGAAATGAAATTTAGGTTGAAAACCCACCAAGTTGTAGGGGTGGGAATGAAAAACTCGCATATAATTCCAATTTTACCTTTATAATATATTTTATATTTAGAATTATTGAATTCACATTAAGCAAATCCTAAATTGTTCTATTCCAATTCCGCCACTCAACCCATGCCTAGACAATACATTTAAATAAGTACTCTCGTAACCTTAGTCTTGTTCTTGTTCTCACCCTACTCCCTCCCAACTACATCTGATTGGGTCACCTATTCCAAACTCGCCCATGGAGTACATAACATTCAGACAAGGATGTAATACTCCTGTAATAAATTATATTATGTTGAAGTTTTACCATATTATTAAATATAAATAATTTTTTAATATATTTATTGTATTGTCAATTTAAAATTATTATATTATTGATAGTTGTGTTAGTCGGGGGTACTTTAAACACACAAAACGACACAGAATAAAAAGAGGAATCCTTATCATCCTACCACTAACACCATATTAACTACTCCTTCGAGACCATCTCCGCCTCCGGTCCTCCATATTCGTGGTGCTGTTTAAATATTCCCCTCGTGTCTGCATTGCCTTGGTCACCATCACCGCGGTGGTCACTTCCCATCAACCAAGAGAAAATATATATATATATATATAGAAAACATAATTAACCACATATAATATGTAACAAACTATATCTTATCTACCATATATTACTGAAATGACCTAAGAGAGAACAACAATGGAACAAAAAAATGGAGGTCCCTCCATTTGAAGTGGGTATATAATGGAACCATGTGCGATCATATGGTGGGTGGCCCTTTTGCAGGCCCCCCAAGCTCACATCTCCAAACCCATGACTGAAAGCGAAACATCAAACTTAATTCATTCATTCATTCATTTAATAATTAATTAAATATATTTTATATACATATCAACAAACATTGATTCCAAAGTCTCCTCCATCTTCTCACCTCCCATTTTCAATCCATCTTCTCTCTCTCCATTCTTGTTAATTTTTCTTATTCTCTTCACGCATATTCCTCACCACTCTCTCTCTCTCTCCCCTCTCTCTCTCTCTCTCTCTCTCTCTCTTGTCTGGTCTAAGTGGATATTGTGTCAGAGTGATAATCAGAACTGAAGTTTCCTTTTGTCCTAGTGAACAAGGAGGCCCCTCTTGTCAGAAGAAAATCTTTTATCTCCAACAGTTTTTTGCCCTTTCAATCCATTCACAAAAGCAAACCCTTTACATATATATATATAGATACCATTACAACCATCTACACATATACCCATCTCTCCAAAACCCTAAATTTTTCTATAGTTCTCATCTTTAATTAATTTTTCTCCATATTTAGTATATATTCTTATCTTCTTGCATCCATGATCCCTCAACAGTACTCATCATTCCGTCCTACTTCCGTTAAAACTCGATTTACCAATAGGTTTCTTCGAGCTCTGAAGAGAATAAACGAGCATCAATCTAGTAGTTGTGATCTTAGAGACGTCTTTCGAAAATATCGCATGATTAAGGTTGCTGCTGATTCATCAATGGCTTCAACAGTTGGATCAAAGAAAGCATGGAGTCGGGCCATGCTATGGAAAATCAGGTGTAAAGCACGAAAACGTGTTCCAGGGAGGCGAAGTACTAAAGCTAGGGTTTTGAGGAGAAGAGGTCATGTAGAAGACAAAGCTGGTGAGAAGGTTGGATTTGGACGAGTGAACGAGCTCCGGAAGCTCGTGCCGGGCGGTGAAACCATGGATTTAGAGAGGTTGTTGGTTGAGACTGCACATTACGTAAAGTGCCTTGACACCCAAGTACAGGCCATGAGGGATATTGTTGATTTCTGCTCTACATAATTAAGCTATATATATACACACACACATATATGTATGTATAGTAGTGCACAAATAAATCAAAAGAAGCGATCGAGAAAGAGAAGATCATGGTGGTGGTAGCAAGTTCAGAACCAGCAACATAGTTTGAAGAAATTGGGTTTTTATTTTCAAAATAATAAAGGTATATGTACCAATATATTATATACTCTATATCCTTATAGTTTTAATGTAAATTACATGTGTGCGACTTTATGTTGTGAGAAACTAGCTTAGTGGTCGATTTTGTTGCCCCTACAGAGCTGCTTTTCTTTGCCTTTTGTTTTCTATATCTTTTACACCTTTGTTTATATATATATATATATATATATATTACTATGAGGCCACCACCTTCTCGATCTGTAGCGGAGGCCACCACCTTCTCGATCTGTAGCAAGAACTGAGATGAGTAGTTTAGCTTATTGTTGCAGCTGTAGATCAATTATCAATATAGTGAATATATATATATATATATATATATATATATATATCTAGATTATTCTTTTTAATCGGCCCAAAGCAAAATATGAGATTTTTTTTAAATCTTTGACTTATATATACTCCACTTTATAACCTTAATTTTTATAGATGGATGATATAAGAATCTATCTCCAAGTAACACATATATAGTAATTGCATGTTTAATTTCCTACCTTACTTTGAATAAATTCATTTTTTCATTTTTCGTAACTGTCACACCAAGTGTCTGGATAATCGCTAACCAAATGATTCCTTCCCTCAATCTTCCAATCAATATTCTAATATATATTTCTCTTGTGGGTAAAATTTCTTTTTCGTTTATCAAAGGCATCTCTATATGTCCCGTACTTGTACCATTTTTTCAGAAATATAAAAAACTTAAATTCTGAATTACTATATATATTCTAAATCTGAATTTTAAGTGAGGACAATCTTTTCATTTTCCATTTTTTTAATACTAATTGAAATTTATTTCCTAGATCAAATAAAAGTAAATGAAATTATCTCATTAATTGTGGCGTTTAGTGGGGATGTCTAAACCAATTGTACTTTCCTTAGTGATTATTCTTTTTGCCATTTTCAAGATAGCTATTTATAATTAATTAATAATTATTATGAGTCGGAGAATATTCGTCTTAATAGGATGGTAAAGTTGCTCTACTGTAATTAAATGACAAGATTTTAAAACAAAAAGAATAGTGATACTCACACGAACATTGCTTAAGTAAATAATTTTTAAATGATTATTTATACCAAATACAACTAAGTGGAGGGCTCCACTTCCTTATTTGTTGCATAATTGACCAACTAAAAGATTAGGTCTAACAATTCTCTGCAAATATTCTGTGCAAAAATCATTTTCCAAATAAAAAACAGCTATTTATAATTAATTAATAATCATTATGCATGAACCGGAGAATATTGATCTTAATGCAATGATAAATTTTAAAACGAAAAAACAGCCTTTCTCTAAGTGAACCTCATGCAATGGGCTAACTGACTTGCCTTTCATACATGTCTAAAGGGATTCAGTGTTTACACAAAAAGCCAATTAATCGATCGAAGCTTCTCAGAAATCTTATATTAAATAACTGCAAAATTGGGAAGAAGTATCTAGCAGATGGTTTTATATATTATATATATTTCATTTTCTTATACATGATTCCATTGTTAAAAGAGGATTAATTATATATATATATATATATACATCTATCAAGACAAAAAATAATAATAATAATAAATAAATAAATAAAACAGACAAGCTAAGGAACACAACACGTTGCCCTTCGAGGATTTGTTCATTTTTATTTATTTATTTTTATTTAGGTAATCGGGACATACGAGGCTCTGCTTGGACTAAATTAGCTAAATAAATCATGTTTGAGGTTCGATTGTGTGCAAACAATTTTCTTGAAGCCACGCCTCCACGATTCATACGCGACTATTCTAAATGGACCTAACCCTAGTGGATTTGGTTAATTCAGATGACATGAAGTAATGTGTGGTTGCTGAAAACCCTTAATTTGTGGGATGCGTATTTGCATGTATTTGTTTTGTACACATTTTTTTTCAAATGATGTTCTGAAGAATGTCAGAAAATTGAAGGATAAAACACTTTCCTACTATAAGGAGCTATGCATCATATTTGGAAAGAACGACGTTACATATAAAGATGATTAAAGCCTAAAAGACTTGTTGATGTGGTGAATATGATCAAGGAAAAAGAGAATTACAATGTTGGAGATGTGTTTTGATGGTAATGATGTATTAATTTCACTCTTCAATCACTCACAATTGGAAAAAGTCCAGAAATTTTATTAGCTCAGATCGTATTCAATGCCTTATTCAAGTGATTGAACTTGAAAGCTGCGTTGCGGATATCCTCATGCATCCATTTTTGTTCATAGGAGGCTCAAATTCTCGATCTTTCACTTTAGAAGGTGATCCAAAATACCCCTTAAGATAGAACCTAATATTCTATAAATAATTATTAAGTAATCAAAAGGAGAAAAAAAAAAAAAAAAATTACCAAACAAAGTAAAAAAAGATATATTATGTCCTTTTGATAATTTAATTATTATTTAATCATAAGTTCATAACCTTATCTTCTGAAAAACTTGTTTCGATGGAATATGAAAGCTCAAATCTAATCTTAATTGCAATGTAAACAAAATGGACGATGCTACGTCCACAGCTCTTCAGTTCATTTTTTGTTATTAGACAATGAATGTGCTCGATTTGCAAATTGATAATACAGCATATAATAAGCAATACTCTTCATTGGTTTTGGATTTTTTTTTTTTACTCTGCATTCTTTCAGCAATTCCTTTCTTTAACGAAGTTTATGTATGAACTTAGCTATTCAAGCACCTCCATAAGTTTCTTACTCTATGAAAAGTACTCTGTTTGATACAGGGCATCGTAATTGTAGAAAATTAGAGGGAAGATAATGGATATAGTATTGTATTACAATTAAATCGTTTACTCAGCTATGGGGTTTTAATTGTATTGCAATTAATTTTTTTTTTTTAGCAAATTGCCCCTAATCATCAATTTTGACCAAATTTTTATATATATATAAATCCCAAAATACCCTTAAGAGCATTTTTGGTAGTTTAATCTTCAATTTTTTTTTATAAAATTCCCAAAACCTCAAATTTTTTTATAAAAATACCAAAAGTTTTTTGTTTTGTCTCAAGGGCATTTTAGGTATTTTATCCTCCAAATTGAAGAATTGTCCTTATTTGCTCAATTTGAAAGCTAATTTTTTTTTTTTTTGAAAATCAGGAGGATATTTGCACATTTGATATATAAGCTGAATGAGTTAAATGGTCATTAAATTTTTGGTATGCAATAACACACACAAGCAGCTATGCCAGAATGAGTTAAATGGACATTAAATGTTGCATTTGATGTTGAGATAGAGTGGGAACATATTGAAATTTTGTATAGGAGCAAGGATTAAAAGTTTGTGTCGATGAATGTTGTAGTTACATGTGTGGTGGGTATATAATAAACCACATTCTAAGTAGCATGAACATGTAGAGAAGGCACGGATATTGTTACATGGACATGTTGCCCTGTCGAATTCTAAACATGTAAGACTCGGACATCAATAATTGGGATGAGTGAGTGAGTGACACATATTCTTAAGGGTCAGACTCAGTCCAACTTTCAAATGGAGGGGGTTGCTATGGTTACCAACCGGGTGACACACACATGACATTGTTGACTTTTAGCTCGTGGTCTCTTCTAGTACTAATTTCATGCGTAGCTCATCCAATCTATCTTTGCTTGCTCTCAAAGGGATGAATATATAGCTTGGATTCTTTAATGTAGCGATTTGGTGTTGTAACGTTTTTTAATGCATTTAAATTTGTTTTAAACATATTTTTCAATTGCGTTAAAAATGGATGGATGACCGCTGCAGGACCAAAGCGCGACAATATAGAGGATCCAAGGTCATGATAATAAAGGTTGCACATTGTACTTTAATTTCAGCATTCATTTACTGTTAGAAATGCAGACGAAATGGAACTGCCCAAAAACTTACCAACCAGGATAATAACCATATCATTATAAGACTGACAATTGCTTGGTTAGTGATGGGTAGGTAAAGCTACCAAATAACGTAACCACCGTTTCAGTATCATGAATGAACCCCATTTGTAGACAGATAAACTAAAAGAATATGACATCATTTTGTCATTGACAAGTAAAATTTTTACCCCCAACATAAAAGTACATGCAATCATGTGTGTGTGTGTAGAGTAGCAATGGAAACTTACACCGTATAGCAATGGAACTTACACCGTATCTGAATTTATGATTGAAGTTGCCAACAGCTCAGTTGACAAAATCTTCGGTAGACACCAGTGTTCAAATTTTCACTTAAAACCTAACACTGTTCAAAATTTCACTTCTCAAATTAGCCAAATGCTGCATGAAACAAGCAGCAATGGAAAATCAACTCATTTCCCAGATAAATATTCACACTCACAAATTCCCACTATAGGGCTCCGAACCCTCACTTTGAGGGAGAAAAGATTATACCAGCAAGGCTATATTTGCCCACTGGTGACTCAGCATGTTAAGGCATCTCGTGACGTCCACATAAGTGTCGTCGGCCAATTATTTGTGTCAGCATATTTGCTGTCATCTACCAAATGTAAAACAATGCCTGGATGAAGTACAAACCATTGTCACTGAATGGTGGTTAAGACAGTACCCAAAGAGAAGACATTATTCTTGCTTCCATGTAAAATGGCATTAGCCACTGTATTTACTCTTCCAAATAGAAAATCAGGTGATCAACTATTTCAGCATACCAAGCTATAAATAAAACACCCATACAAACCAGCATACATCAAACCAGCCAAGAAGACCAGCAAATTCATGCTATTCATTATCATTCAGACTATTTGTACAATTTGAGTTGTTGGCAAAAAGTTTGTTTTTTTGCCCTTGGAACAATACAGAACACAGCTAAAGATAGAGAAAATTTGTTTCTTCCATGCAAACCAGAACTTTGCACTGACCACAACTGGCACTTGGTCCAACTGGCTTAATTAACAAATTAATTTCCCAAAATTTTATTCTGCAAATATTCATATGTGACCATTCCAATTCTAAAGCTTAGAACAGTCTGAGACGATAAGAGTATTACAATTGTAAAAACCAAGTGTGAATATATTGTTGATAGCAAAACACAAATTTAAAATACAGAATATTCTTTTAATGCTCCAAATAATTTTTAATTTTTCTTTTCTTTTCTTTCTTCCTATATTCCTCTTTCCCCCAACAATTAACCCTAAATTTAAACTAAAACTAAAACTACAACCACTGTAAGTATATACCAGAAGAGAAAACCATAACAGGCGAGTAACAGAGACCTTGACAAGAAGCCAAGCATGAGCAAAGGCAACTGCAGTAAAGTTTAATTCCCAAAACATGAGAACAAATGTAGATAAAATAATAATAATAATAAAAAAAGCTAGCTTATTTCTTATTCTTCTATTGTGCAAGTATGTATAACTCAACCACTAACAATTACACTGCAAAAGGAAACTCGATTGAGAAACCATTGTTATGCTTATATTGACAACGAATTTAACATATAAAAGAAACTTTTGGCAGATTTATCATATCAAACCACTGAAATGATGCTCCTGTCACATTCTATTTTCTGTATATGAGAGAACAATGAATTTCATACTGTTTTTCTGCTAACCTGTACCTCAAACAGATTCACCATCGATTCTCGCATAGACAGGAGCTAGCAACACTAGTTTGCACTCTGCACTATACAAAAACCCCAAGCAAGCACACCGAAATGAAGCATAGGATTTGCTAAACAGACTCTCTCAAGAAATGTACACTCAGCGAAGTGAAAACCCTTGGTTTGATTGAGCTATTCTTCAAATCCATTCATCATGCAGAATCTACAAAACAGCCCTCACAAAATCTTGCTGATCAAGATGATATCTAAGCTTGCCAGATAGACTCTGTACATTAGCAGCAAATAGCATTAGTCTGATGGCTTATAGACATGACAAAATTCAACTGAAATGAAAATAAGGACATAATTACAAATTCAATCTAGCATACAACGGAGATCACACTGCAGAGGAAAGAACAATAACATAAAAATAAGTAATAGATTCTAAATGTGAACAATTTTTTCTTTTTTTTTAAAAAAAAAAAAAATCGTCATTGAATGATTATCCATCTTCTCAAGTTCTACAATGTCGAATTTCAAACCCAGAATTTAAACCAAAAAAAGTTAAAAAAAATTTATCAATTTCTCAAAACTATATTAACCTTTTGCAAATTTAACATTGTTAAACCTTAAACCCAGATGAAAAAAGGGTATCAAAGTTCTCCTAAATAATCTAAGCCTATAAAATTCCACATTATAAATCCAGAAACCCATACTCGTATGGGAAAAACAATATAAAGTTTCCATTAATTAGCTCATTTAGATCAGCAATTATGAAACAAACTATTCAAAACCCAGTCGACAAACCCTAAAATCTGCAAGTACAAAATAGTGAATTGTGAGATTACAAAGAAAGAAGAAAGACCTTAGACAGAGTTTCCACAATGGCGCTTCCATCTTGAATATCAGGCGGCTGAACAGCCATACAATCACGCGGCGATTCGAATAGCGATATCGAAAATTGCTTGAAGACAACACCAACATCAAAGTAAATCAAGCCCGAGCTCGGTACATCAACCCGAATTCCCTTCACAGGGAACCAAAGAAACAAATCTTGGGCCGATATGCCAGACAAACCAGCGATCTGGCCGTAGGTGATAGTGCCCGAAACATTCCGATCATAGTGTAATTCATTCTCAAACTTAGCATTACAAGCTTGATCTAAATAAACCTCGAAACTACCAGAGTCGTCGTAGCGAAATTCTTTCACACCCTTGGGTAACAAACCCATGGGCAATCCATGAGACCGAAGAACTTCATATATCGATAATGCTTCAGAAGCCGAAGCCAAGAAATGGGTCGAAATTGAAACAATAGAGAATATGAGGACTTGAACAATCATGTTGGGTTGTTTGTGTTAGAGCATAGGAGGAGTGAAAATTGTGGGTTGAGAGGCGACTGTATGTATATGTTTAGAGAGAGAAAATTAGGGTTAGGGTTTTCAAGAATTGAAGGAGAGAGAGGCGGAGGGAAGGGAAGAAGAGGGAGGTCGAAGTAGGAGGAGACACTTGTTGCCAGCAAGAGTACAGAGAGGATTAGGAGGATGATCAATTATTGGTGAAGAGGTGGGACCCAATAGTATCGTCTGCGGTCGGGTTTAAGTGGATTGTGTAATGTTCGAACCTATCTGAACCCGTGGGTCCAAGGGTATAACTGTAATATCGAGGAACTTGTTTAACAATTTTGTGGTTTAAAACTGAACATGACAGAAATATCTTCGCACGTGACCGCCAAGTGGCGGACTGTAGCTGCGATGTGTTCATACGAGAAAGTGTTCATTCACGCGCTCTCATCCACTATATGCATATAAATATGTGTGTGTATATATATATTAGGGAAAACTATGTATATATAGATTTAAGAATCCTAAATAACAAAATAGTCTATTTTTAAAGTTCATACTTTAATTTGATTGAGTTAAATAAAATAATTACAAAAATATCAAGAATTATTATTAAGAGCCAAAATACCCTCAAGCTCTTATTTCAAATTACCTAAATATCCTTCTTAAGATAATATAATTTGAAAATAATGCCTTTTTAGTTGTTATTTTCTTTTGCAATAAAATTGTTTAATTATCAACAATATATATATAGAAACCTAAACTATTTTGCTAAGAACACAGGAGGAAGGTAATGCTGAAATTATTCCCCTGCAGCTTTTCTCATGTTAGAGAAAAATTCCAGTTACTAGGAAAAAAGAGAGCAATGGTTATTTTTTACAACTGGTTTGATCCTAAAAATCTAATTTTATAAGAGACTCATTAATCACTCGTTTGGTCATTATGAATTGACCAAAATAATTGTTGCAATGGTTCGATTGTATATATATATATTTTTTTCCTCTTATGCTCAACCCTTTTTTCGAGCAATACTTCAAATGGGTAATCCATTAAAAAAACGCCAATACTGAGATTGGCTAGAACAAAGCAGGGTTTTTAATTTTTTTTAGTGTTTTGGAATTATGTGATACTATCTATTAAGGATATTTAGGTATTTTGGAATGAGGGTATTTTGAATCTTAAAAATAATTTTTGATGTATTTATAATTATAATTATTTTTTTTAAAATTCAATCAAGTTAAAAAATAAAATTTTAAAATAAACTATTTTGTTATTTAAGAATCTTAACTTGGCCTATACGTAATTTTTCCTATATATTATACTGATTCCGTGAGTCACAATTTTTAAAACAGAAAAGTTAGAGAGAGAAAGTGAATGACGCGAGAAAAGGTGTGACACCGCGCGTGATAGTACAGAGAGAGTACCGAGAGTAGTATGAGAGACTTTGAGTTGGTCAGGCGAGAGAAATGTGCTTTGACAGATGGATCCAAAGAAGAGTAGCCAGAAAATATGATAAAGATGGAGCTTTGTATCGTACGGAGTAGTATTTTAGGATAAAAATAAAGAATCATATTATATAAGTTTGTCCTAAACAAAACAAGTTCTGCTTTTTATAAAGTTAATGTATAATTTTAAATTATTTTTCTAAATACATGCCAATGTGTTAAATAATGAACATATTTTATGCTTTTTAAAAATCTTTATTTAAAAGATTTAGTTTTTATCAAGAAAAATTGGTATGGCATTTATGTTCCGTGCCGTTTCTAAATGATAAATTAGTAAGTGATTTACAAAGACAAAAGAGGCTACTTTAGTGCACGGATATTTGACTATTGTGGGAAATTAGTAATTGTATTTTTGTAGATATATAAAAATAGTTATCTAAAAGATAATATCAATATATTTTCCTTTCATATTTGATTCTCTTGTCTCATGGATTGAGTTTTAAGTGAAGTCAAAATTATGTCCATATAAGTAATTTTATATCCATAGCTAAAATTAGGAAATGTCGACTTTAGCCACAACCAATAAGTGGAATTAATAAACAATTTACCCTGAGTTCAATATTAATCAAGTTAAAATATTTTTCTGAGTACAAAAAATACATAAATACTACTCCGCAATATTTCATATTCATTTAATTTGGCATTTAATTTCGCCAAATATCTAATTCTCTCTATTGTTTCAAGTTTGTCTTTTTCATCAACCATAATATTTTAAAATTCTTATGTGTTGGTTTGAAACTAAAGTCTATATCTCCAAAATATAGGATTATGTTGGTATATGTTAAATGAAATTAGTAATAGACAATTGTATGATGCATTGTAAAGGAGAATTACTTTGATGGATTTTAATGTTGACGTCTGTGATGCCTAGAAGAAAAATATGAATCTTTATAATTTTGAAATAAAATAGTAAGAGAGTAAAGTAACTAGCCTAAAATAGGGAAGAGTGACTTTGATGAAGAGATACAAAATTGTATTTATCATTTATGATACAATCTTGAAATTTCTTTCTTTAAGTCTAGCATTGCTCTAAAATGTATCCAACTTGAATAGAAAGTATTTGAGTTGGAAACAAATAGAAAAACTTGCCTCTCTAGAATCTTATTATAATTGTAAATTAATTGTTATATAAACCAGGGAAAAAAAAACCTATTGATCATGTGTACATAAAATAAATTACACTTTTGTAATCACAAAAATCAACTAAACTTAAAAATAAAAATATCAGACGTTGATAAATTGAATTCTAAAAAGGTGAAAAGAAATTGTCAAATTTTAATTTGAGAACATTGAGAGAAAAAGTTGATAAATTGAAATTTTAAAGAAAGGTAAAAATGAAGTTAGAATTTTAGAAGGGTTTGAGAGAGGGAATACTCAATACATGTAACATGAGATAATAAGGTTAAAAAGAATTTGAACGATTAAGGAGGTCAATTATGGTATTAAAGGCATAAAAACTAGAAATGATATAATTTAAGGATCATTTTGTACCTTCATTTTGAGAGAAAGAGGTGGAGCACCTGAGACTAAAATAGTGAATCGCCACCCAAAAAAAAAAAAAAAAGCATAATAATTTATTCTTGCTAAATGATGACACACACCCATTGACTTTATAAAACAAAAGAGTATAACAGTATTACACACACACATATATATATATATATATATATATATATATATATATAGATAAAGATTAAAAGAAGATATTTTTTGTCCTTTTCTTCTCAACATTACCAACAATATTTTCTATTTTGAACTTATCTTGTAAATGAGATACGGAGTATAATATTTGAAGTTTTATGGGTATATGAAAATAATGAAAATCACTGAAATCCCCTCCCAAATAAGTAAAATGCAAAAAGTATATATATCAGAAAATTCCAAGTCTTCCCATGTAGTATGTCGCTTCCAACTGTCTCCCTCATGTAATTATGATCAGGTGCACTGTGAGCGCGCACCGTGTCAAATAGAAAGTGATGATGGGGGAGAGGGTGAGTCTAGCGTGACTAATGGTAGGCAATTAATAATTATGATATATTTTTGTCTTAAGGACAAAAACCGTTCCATCACTAATCAAATTATGTAGATCCTGGTTAGGTCATTGTTTCAAGGGCCTTTTTAACCTTTTTAATGTCTCCCTAAGCGTACAAATTAAATTAGGCGTGACATTTGCAAAACTATTTATGGATCTTACTGCACACTATTTAGTTGGCCAACAACCACGTCCAATCATATCGTTTTTTTTACCCACGTCCAATCACATCGTTTACGGGATATTTTTGGGTGTATTATCCTCCTCCATGCATTTAGATTCCGACTCCTCGTGCAAATATGCAATAACAAATAATAATAATAAAAAAAAAAAAAAAAACACAATGAAAGCCCTTTCATTGAATTGCATTCTTAAGATTATTCTGTATGCACTGAATCGTTCAAAGAAGGTGAATTTCTATATATATATATATATATATATATATATATTTGACATTGACAAACTAAGTGTGGTCTTTACTTCACATAGAGAAATAGACTGTATTACTAATTAAATATTATTAAGCAGAATATTTTATTATTTTTCAGAGTTATTAAGTAATTCCCAACCAATCACAATAATAAGTTATGGGACTATGCACGACTCGAGACAGCATTTTGACTTCAAACCACCACATAATTCCAAACAACCTAATACTAATTTGCAATGGCCGTTTTCATCTCTCTCTCAAAGGAACTCCTGAATGTCGATGGTATCTAAACATGCAAGGCCCGCATTTCTTTGTCAGTTGGGCCGATTAGGCCCATATCCTAATTTGGTCCTTGAATTGAAGCCCTCGATTTGGCCCTCTTAGAATTACACCGAGCGAGAAGTAGCAGTAATGGAGGAAACCTATTTCCTTTTGGGATTTTTCCACATCTAAAACGTGAAGGTTCTTCTTCGTATTCAAGCAAACAGAGCTCACTCTGCTCCTCCAATTTAGTCTATTACATAATGATTCTCAAGTTTATATTCACGAAAGAGTTGTAAAAGATTATTTGTCTTTCAAGAGCATCTAAGTTTGTGAATATTCAAAATCAATTTGTCACTGCCGCCGTAAGATTTCCGGTGAGATTCATCACCTCTGCCGCTGACTGCTGCTTGCTGCACTAGCTTACCGCTTTAGAAAATGATTCAATTCCAATGCTGATCAGATTGAGGTTTTCCAATTTAACCCTTTTTTGTGTGTGTGTACAGATTTCAGATTTGAACTAATTGCGATTCTTGTATTTTTTGTTATTATATACGCAATATATATATAGACACACACACACACCGACACACGCCCAAGTATATGTTTCTAATTTTCTATTTGTTGTTGTTAGATGTGATTTTGCTTGCTATGGGTCTTCTAGTTAGATATGTACCTTTGTTTTGGGTCCTTTATATTTCCAGTGTGACTCTGCAATTTATAATTATAAAGTTTACCACTATTACCCGCTTTTCTGGTTCGATAGGCCGGACTGGAACTAAGGGACCTTGTTATGGTTTTTTTGTTCTTACTTATGGTGAGGTATAGCTTCGATTGTATTGGCTCAGCTGGGCATTTCATAATTCTTTGTCCTTAATTATGGGGAAAATTCGTTGTTTTTCTTTGATCTGCACTCATTTGCATTATGTTATGCATATGGATTTTGAAACATTTATGTATTAGGTTCTTGAATGTTGTTAAGTTTACCCATTGTGATTATGAATATCATTGCAGATATATATATATATATATATATATATATATTTTCACTTTAGTAATCCCATCATTTGAAAAACTACTTTCAGTAATTCTGCAGCAAACAATTGCAAATTAATGATTTCTCAGCAACATATTAATGATTACTCAGCAACATATAGCTCTTTCCTGTATTTTTATTTATTTTTTTCAAATCATATTTTCAGTTGTTATGTTATCTTCAGTTATTCATTATTTCGTTTGCCCTTATACAGGGCCATGATTTCAATAGAATACTAAAAGGATACACGGAGATAATCATAAAATGGTGTTAAACCTGTGTCTACTAAACCGAAGTTATTGGAACCGTGGTATCTTTTCTTCGCTGCCCCGTCTTGATCTTTTTCGAAACTTCTCTCTCTGGTCAATGAAGAAAGACCCTGATCTTGAATCAGCTCTATCTCGAAACCGTAGATGGATAGTCAACAATCAGATCAAAAACATAATTCTTAGATACCCCGATCAGGTGGCACCTGTAAAGTTCCTCCAGAAAAAGTTCAAGACTCTTGATCTCCAAGGGAAAGCTCTCAATTGGCTTAAAAAGTATCCCGGTTGCTTCGAAGTCTATTTCGAGAATGATGAGCACTACTGTCGATTAACGAAACGAATGATGTATCTAGTAGAAGAGGAAGAATCTGTGAAAGATATGCAGGAACCACTATTTGTGGAGCGGTTAGCTAAGTTGTTAATGATGAGCTTGAATCAGAGGCTCAATGTTGTGAAGCTTAATGAGTTGAAGAGAAATTTTGGATTTCCAGATGATTATTTGATTAGAATTGTACCCAAGTACCCAGAAATTTTTCGAATTGTTAATTACAGTGGCAGACGGAGTTCGATGGAGATTGAGCTCATCTCCTGGGACCCTGATTTGGCAGTTTCTGCAATTGGAAAGATTGCTCGAAACCAAGATGCTGAGCCTTGTTTTTCCTGTTCATTGCCTTCAACTTGGGTAAAATCGTGGGAGCGATTTCGTGACTTTAATTCAACTCCATATATTTCGCCGTACTTGGATCCAAGAAGTTTAGTAGAGGGATCGCAAGAAATGGAGAAGAGAATAGTGGGTTTGGTGCATGAAGTACTGTCACTGACCTTATGGAAGAAAGTGTCAATTATGAAGTTATGTCATTTTAGAAGAGAGTTCTGTTTACCAGAAAAGTTGAACGTTTTGCTGCTTAAGCATCCTGGCATATTCTATGTTTCAAATAAGTACCAAATTTACACAGTTCTTCTTAGGGAAGGTTATAACGGGTCAGAACTTATTGACAAGGATCCACTTGTTGTTGTAAAGGACAAATTTGGGGAATTGATGCAAGAGGGGCTTCATGAATATAATCGAAGACATTATTTAATGAATTTGGAAAAGAAGAAGAAGGCAGGCATGATTTCTGTAAGACCAGAGAAGAGTAAAAAGCAAAACAATGAAATGTCTGAACAAGATGATCGGGGAGGTGATAAAAGTGGCATTTTTGATCCGGAAGAAAGGAGACGGTTCTATAAAATTCTTTTTGATGACAGTGCCCCATAAATTTTTAATGAAGGTATATATTGGTATCATACTATCAAGATCTTACATTTACTCTTAATTACTGGAAAAAAAAAAAAAAAAAAAGATCTTACATTTACTCTTAAGGATTTGATGTTTTCCCAAGTAGTCACCTGTGTTGCACTGATGCATTTGTTTATGAAAGTAATGATCTTTTTTCTTTCCAAAATCATTCTCTTTGATTTTCTTATCTCGATTTTGATGAGCTGTGTGTGTGTGTATATATATATATATAACAGATATATTTAGTTAGACCATCAATGAGTTTAGATATATTTAAAGTTGTGTTCTCTTTGAAAATAGGACACTTTAATTGCATTATCTGGAAATGACTGGCACCTGGATTGTGAAGTTGGGAATGCTTAAGATTAGTTAGGTGTTCCATACAAAATAGCAAGCCTTATTTGCTTTTTGGCTTTTGATGGCTCTTTGTTTGGAGCCTGCGTTTGGAGCCTGCTTTTGTGTTTATCTCCTTCCAGTGGTTTTTCTATTTATTTATTTTTGTCATGCCTATTTTCTGTCTATAACAAAATACAAACAAGACTTACCCACCTCAAGGAAGAGGGGGGAAGAAGGGAGGAGGGGGGGGGGGGGGGGGGGGGGGGGTGGGGGGTCACCATGGTCTTCTATAATAGGACAAATGCACACTCAAAGTACTCATTTTAATTTTAAAGTGGTTTTGTTTTGTACTTTTAAGGTCAGATGATGATACGAAGATCACAAATACATGTATATTTTGACCATCAATAAGTTTTGATTGACTTAAGTTGTGCTTTCTTTGAAAATAATAAGGTACAATTTAATTGCATTGTTTGGAACTGATCAGCACATGGGATGTGAAGTTGGGTATGCATCAGATTTATGTGTTGTTCCATTTAAATGAATTAAAAACTTGTTTGTTTTTTGGCTTTCGAAGGTCCTTTTGTATTGGGTCTGATTTTGGGTTTATTTTCCTCTTGTGGATTGTTCACTTGCTTCCCATTTTCTGTCTATTAGAATTGTTATTGGTATCCACAAGGATGATATTGATCCTGTTATCAAGACGTACCATTTGATGTCTCACCAAAGGTTCACTCATTCTTTTCAATGCAGGAACACCAAAGCCCCAATAGAATAGCTACTTCCTGATGTGGATGAAAATGATAGTATTGAAGGAGTTTATGATATTATTAATTTGAAGGTGTTTGCTGTTATTATCAAATCAGCAGGTGTAATTGGTCTCTCTGTTCATAATATCTGTGCTGCAGGCACTTATATTCACGGGACAAATCGAACATCAAATAGCATTCTTCCAATTCCACCAGTGTTCAATGACACAGAAGAAGGGTGCTTTTGCTGTGTACCTGAAGCCATGACATGCTGATATATTAATGTACATTTAAGGAAAAACCACGGAAAGAAGCACACTGGGGTTGGAAACTATTTTAAGCTCTTTGGGTACTGATCTCTTTTTGGAGAGAGTGCATAGTAATGGGCAGTGATCTATGTTCTGCCCAAATAAGGCTCTGGGTTTGGCTGATTGTTGGGGTGAAGAATTTGAGAATTTGTATACCCAATATGAAAGGGAATGGAAGGCAAAGAAGGTTGTACCAGCACAAAATCTCTAGTCACAATGGAACAACTTTACTGTTGTGCTAAGGTCTGCCCTCTTCTGGTGAATAAGCATCTTCTTCACAATTGACTGATGGATATTTGGTCACTTACTCTTGACAAAATGTATGGGGATGGTTCTGTTAAGAAAATACCAGATATTCTTGATGAGCTGAAAATTATTTACAAGACTGTTCTGGTGAATAAGAAAAGGATGCCGGTTGATATGGCTGTTGTTCGTGGATGCTACATAGATAAGAGTTAAAGTTTAAATACATACGTGGACCAACCCATTTTCGGAAAACTTGTATTTTCACGCGTGGTCCAAGGATTTGAAAACAGGGATGTATTACCTACAATCACGTGTTGCAGCTGATGCCATCTAGTTTACTGTTGAAACTTTTATGCCTAAAGAACAAGCCAAGTTGTTGGATGATGATGTGAAGATCACAGATGATTTTTTTTTTTTTATGGCGTGTTAGGACGGAGCAAGATTTGGCTTTAAACAGAGCCCCTTTCTTATGGTGGAGTTGGTGAAAGTGATACTTCTGAAGGTGAGAGGATAGGGGTGTCAGAAGTCTGACCAAATATTCCAATGTGAAGTCTAAATGCCTCTGAACTCTTTGTACAGGTATTATTTGTTTCTTTTGTGTATTTGCTTCATAGTTTGTGTTTGTTTGTAGTCAGTTCACGGATTCTGTTCTAACTAATTTCCAGTGACAATTAGAAATGGAAATTGTCCTAAAAGGCTAAAACAAAAGGATAATATAAAACTGCTGAAAGTAGTAAGCAATAGGCTTATCAAAAAACAAATTGTAGTAAGCAATAGGCTTAATTGGTTTTGGATGTTCCTTGTATTTACGAGATTTTAAGTCTGTATATTTTTAAATTCTAATTTTACAGTAAAAAGACATATAATCGAGAATAGAGCATTAAACCATCTATCATCTTTTATTCTTAAAAAAGCTTAAACTCAAATCAAGCAAGAGATCTGCATTCATAAATTCATAATATGTATTAATGATGAAAAAGGAAGAGAGAATAAAGTAAATCATCTTTACAGAGACGTTGCATGTTATTATCTTAATTCATCTTGAGATACTACTCTTCAGTCTTTTAACATATATAAGTCCCTTTCTTTGATTCATTTGATGTCTCACTTGTATGTTGATACCAATGTAATAATATCTTCAATTAGTAAAATTAAAAATTATATATTTATTTTATTGTTAAAATGGTGAGTACTAAAAATCTATATCTGTGGTAATATCTTTCTTTCTTCTTTAAAATTTTGCCAGGCTGCTGGTTAGCTAACTTAGCTTGCTGATCATGAATCGGGCTACAGTTGGATCTTGTTGAGCTCAGCTCTCAGGTCAAGCAGTGGGCATACAGCCGCCACCTGAACCTGCCCACCAATGAGAGTACTTGTCCGGCTGAACAGTGCCTAAACGGCTCCATTGAGGATTGGACAATCCATTGTTCTTGTCATGCTTTGTTTGTTCATTTGGGGAAGAAAAGATTTTGTTCAATGAGAAATGCTGCCTCTGAAGAGTCCGTTGGTGTTCATTGTGGATTAATTAGGAGCCATTGAGGATTGGACAATCCATTGTTCTTATCATGCTTTCTTTGTTAAAGATTTTGTTCAATGAGAAATGCTGCCTCTGAAGAGTCCTTTGGTGTTCATTGTGGATTAATTAGGACTGTTCAAGTTTTTGACAACTTGTGTTTTAAGACGTTGAGGTCTACTATGTGTCTTTGAATATAAGGGATTTTAATTGTACAACACGAGTTTGGCCCCAATTGAATATTTTTATGTACATCTCTACCAAGAAGTAAATATTGGATCCAAAACTGTAGATGATCGAGTGATATTGGACAAGCAAGGTTGATAAATGATTTATGGTTCAAGGATATTAATGATTAGTTTGAGACGAGATAGATGATTAATCTGTTTGTTTGAAAGCAATGATCTGATTATGATTTGATATCAAGTGGTTCTTCACGATGATTAATTTTGGTCATTGATTTCGTATTGGCCTGTAATTGTTACAGTTATAAGAGTTTTATTTTATTTTTTCCTTCTTAGGATCCTTCTTAAAATTATCTACTTTTAGACATTTTTTATAAAAGATTACTTTAATGGCATATTTTTATAATACTCAAAAGTTATCTCAATAATAAATTAAGAGAAATTTCATAAGATTCTCAATTCATTTTGGATAATTACACAAGGAGAATCCTGGTTCTAAGTATGCTAGTACTTGGTAAAAAATAGTCAGAGAAGAATAACTCAACTTCGCAAATGTCGTCGTAGTTAATGGTTAGGTTGTTCTTGGGAACCTTGCTCTCAACTTGGCTATCTCAAAGTGAAGGTGACCGATAAATCGATAATGAATAATTTGTAAAATGTGTATCTGAGCCAATTAGCGAAAGTGTGAAAATGACATAAAAAGTTATACAGAAAGGAATTGGGACCAAGAGCGTGAAAGCGACAAAAATGAAGTTACACAAAAAGGGGCTGAGGGCAGGAGTGTGAGTGACCCTTAAATCATCAAGTCCTTAACCCATACCTATCCCTCTTGCCTGGCAATTTTAATCCAACCCACAAGAAACATGAGCTGGGTCAGAAACTCCCACCCTATCATGGACCCATTCTCAGACCCAGTAGACCAATGATTGTCAAGAGGATCAAGTTGCTGGACCGTCTTAGTTCTGGATCGGCCCAGGTTACGACCGACTTTTATGGGTTCACAAAGAAGAAGAAACGCAGTGACGACCTCATCTCAATTGCGAGCAGCTACGGGGAGGAAGAAGAAGGAAAATGGTGACGAGGGTTTTTGCTTCGGTGGCTCTCGGTAAAACCCAACAGCTCAGAAATCTCTTATTTTGTCCTTTAATTTTCACTCCCACCGCACACAAATTCCTTCTTCACAAACCCAGGTACTCTCTCATTTGATTAGGTTATTGAACAAGTTTGAATCCTTATTGAGGAACAGTTTATTCATATGGACATTTAGAAATTTAGATGAAATTTTAGAAATCATTTTTAAGATTCAATTTGAACTCTCTCTAAGACTATAGTTTATTGTTATTAATTTTTTTGACTTCTACTGTGATAATAACCAGTATGTTTGTACAATTGAAAGTGGGGAATTTCATGTAGTACATCTGTGAATATAAATGTAGTTTAAAATAATATTTAAAAAAATTTAAATTAGAAAAATGATATATTAGGATAAAACTCATTCTGCAGTAGTGTCGTTGATGTTATATGCAAGGTTTGCAGTCAGGATCCAAGTGCCAGTGGGCCACTCTATGGGTTACAAAGGTTTTCTATTTCGGGTAAATGGATTCATTCGGGTCGGCTTCTGAATGAGATTGACCAAGTTGTGGAGCAAGCAGGCCACACTGGAAGCAGCACAGACGCCAATGGTGCTTGTGATGTTAAACCTAAGAGGAAGAAATTGAAGGGAAAACGAGCAGTTGTAAGGTGGATAAAGTTCTTTAGGTGGAAGAAGAAGAAAGAGTATGAAAGAATGACCACAGAAGAGAAATATTTGTACAAATTGAGAAAGGTAAGTTTCCAATCTTTTTTATTTTATTATATTAATTATTATTATTATTATTTTTTATGCTTATTGTATATTTTCTTCTAAGGGATCTAAGATACACAATGGGCACTAGCTTTTAGGATTAGGACAGTTGGACTTCAAATGCTTCTACTATTTATTTTCTACCTTGGAAATCAACCGCTTGCATCCCTTTTGAATGTTGCCAATCTCTTATATGGGAGCTACAAATCATTTTGATGCCTGGTGTAGCGTGATAGTTCTGTTTATAGCCCATCAAGCGTGTCTACCCAATCACCGTCCAGCATGATTTAGATTCCGATCTCATAGTGCATGCGAATTGAGTTGCCAGGAGCTCTATAGACAAGCCTCATGCATGGTTGATATACTTGTACACTGCTACCATTTGCTTTGAACTACATAGTCATATTTATACCGTATTAGTATGAGCTATTTTATCGCATTTACACTCTTGTTCATAAATTTTCAGCCATCGAGTCCATACTTAAACATAAGTATGGATGGTTGTGCAGAGAATGTTTTTTGCTAAAATTAGATTGACTTTCTTGGAAATTATTGCAATAATCAAATTAATAAAATGTTTTAAATGATTTGCTATGTTCACAAACAATCAGTATGATATGAAAGGCTAGGATACTATTGGTTGGATCCGAAAATCTCTATATCCTATCTAAAAGCTTAGATAGGGTAGGATGGTACTTGCAATCTTGACTAGTAAATTGTCTGCTTTATTCAATGAAGTGTGGAGAACAATGGTAATGGTGTTTCTTACACTTATAACAGCTGTTAGTTCAGATTAGGACCGACTCTTGGCTTAAAATTTTGAAATTTATACCATGCTGTGATATGTTTGACAGAACAAAAAAATTTATTGATGTTTTCAATAGTTAGTATGTTTATACAGTCCAGTTCCTTTTCTTTTTCCTAAATGCATTTCCTTGTGGACCGCACCTATAGTCGGAGGTCTTATGATGGATCATGTAATCTTTTTCCAGGCTCGAAAGAAAGAGGAAAGGCTTGTTGATTCTCTAAAAAAGATCGAACCTAAAGATTCCTCAGAAACAACCCATGATCCGGAGATTTTGACCCCTGAAGAGCACTTCTACTTTTTGAAAATGGGCATCAAGAGTAAGAACTATGTGCCAGTTGGCAGACGAGGAATATACCAGGGTGTAATCCTTAACATGCACTTGCATTGGAAGAAACACCAGACCTTGAAGGTGGTGGTGAAGACATTCTCACCAGAGGAGGTCAAGGAGATTGCTGCAGAACTGGCAAGATTGAGTGGAGGGATTGTGCTTGACATTCAGGAAGACGACACAATAATTATGTACAGGGGGAAGAATTACTCTCAGCCACCAACAGAGATAATGTCACCTAGAATCACTCTTCCCAGGAAGAAGGTACTTTTCTATTGCTCTTCATGTCCATATATCTCTTCATCTTTAAGCATGCATGAACATATCTATAAATATATGTACATTACAATACTTATAAACTGAAGACGGGAATTGCTTCCAATTTCTGGACATGACAGATGATATCTGGATTGCTTGAGTCTCCAGAAAAGATTAAAATTTCCTCATGTTCTCTTGCACTGAATCTATGATGATTCTTATTAGTTTTTATGGCATGTAGACGAATATGCAATTTACATCTACATTGAGAAAAACAATGCATTCCTGATCTCGTGTAGGTTGGACATAAGCCTTAATTGGGTTTGATATGAGTTACTGTAGTATTTTAGTGGATTTTTTTTTTTTTTTGGCTGTGATGGAAAATTCTAGATGTAAACACCCTTCCATACGAATTGTCTAGAGATGTTATCACAGTCGAGCATATAGTGGCCTAGGTTTTGGGCATTCTGTTTGGTGGATCCTAAGAGATATCCCCAGCCAGCAGAGCAAAACTCCTCCTGTGGAGTGTTGTTAGTCTTTGGACTTTAAGAAAACAAACCTTTTAGATTGTATTGTGTATACTTGGGTGGAACTTTCCCTATGTTCTGACTTTATTTCCCTCTTATACAGGCTTTGGATAAGTCCAAATACAGGGATGGTCTCCGAGCTGTTAGGAAATATATTCCAAGACTTGAGCAGGAACTTGAACTGCTTCAGGCAAAGGCTGCAAGCAAAGTTGAAAACAAAAGCAAGGCTGTTGAAGAAACCCCCTTGACTGACATTGACAGTGCTAACTGTGGAGGCAATATAAATCCACAGTTGGAGGATTCAGATAAGTTGAGAGAGATAATGGATAGAAATGATGAATGCCCCGAGGAGGACGATTCTTTGATGGATTCTGATATGGGTTCAGATTCTGAAGCTCTTTCAGATATTTTTGAAACAGATTCTGAGACAGATACTGAAGAGGTAGAACATCCCCTTTACTTAAATGAGTTCGAAAAGTTTCCACTACAAACCAATGCAAAACCGCATGATTTTGAGGAGCACCTGCGTCAAATATCTGCAGACTCGAAAAAGGCCAAATCATTGGAAAAGGATGCAGAGTTACCCGACCTTGATGAGGTTGATCGGATGTTTCTGCAAGCTGCTTCACTTCTAAAGAAAAAGAGGAAATAGAAGATTCATAAACTAATAGAATTGATCCATCTCCCTTTTTAAGGTCATGTTTGGCAACAATTGCTAACATCTTCTTGTGCATATTATCAATAACATTTGTCATTTCAGAACAATTAAATCTGTGGCAGTCTTTGTTTGGCTTAATGAGGTTGAGGAACTTCCAGTTTGACTTCAAAGTTTTGATAATTCCCATGAGTTGCAATTCTCTTGTTCTTGGTAGTTTAAGTTGGAACCAGTTATCAAATATGCTCTCAAACAAAACCAGCACCTTCTTGTGTTCCCTCATTCTTCAATTTTTTGTCAAGATTTCCAAAGGAATTGATTATCAGACAGGTTGGATCTAACTCGTATAAAACTGATCGGTCTCCAGTGTTGTATTCCTGGAGAACTTGGCGCACTCATCACTGAACAGGTCGTGTCTACCTTGTGCATGAATGATAAACAGAGTCTATTGGATGCCCCCTCCCCCCAACCAAATACCAGTCTTTAGTAACAGTATCCCATAAACGTAGGATCAACACATATTTTCTTGATAGATTTTCTTGTTCTTTGTGATTCATGCGGTAGCCAAGATCAAAATTCATGATTCAGTGTGAAAAAAGTAGTTCTCCCTTTTTCCCCGAGTCAGATAATCTTATTGATTTCAACTGCAGTTGCACCTGCATGTTACATGTAGCTTTTTGGTTTTTTATCCAGGTTGTAAGTTCTTTGACAAGTATGGGTGCTTCTTCATCACAATTGATTTGCATTTTCAAGTTCCCTCCTCCCAAAATTTTTTTTATGACCATGCCATGTCCAGTTGTCCATAGTGATTAGTGACAAGGGTTTAACCCTGTGGAAAGGAAGGTCTGTAAACAAGTCTTCTATTCTCAGAGGACCCTCCAAAAAAGAATCCAAGCAATACCTATTACCCTCGAATAGTGTTCACTAAGAAAGGCATTGATGATGACAGTAGTGAAAAGTAAAAAATTGATCTGAACTACGAGAATTGAAAAAAATTAAGTAAAAATTGATGAAAAATATTTTACCTTCCCAATCAAATACTTTGGTTTTGAGTTTGAGACAAGCTAAAAGGCATTAAGCTGTAAAAAGACATTCTCTTGGTTCTCTTAATTTCTTCTTTTATTCAACTGAACAACTGCAGCAACACTAATCTAGATTACCCAGTATCTCTTTCACAACCCACTCTCACCTAATAACAACAAATCAAATCAATCTTACTAGCAAACACCATTAACAAATTCACATGCCCAAAGGAAACGAAAGACAATCACCTGTACAAATGATTTCTAGGCTATATAGGGGATTCAAAAAACATACCTTACTGTCCTAAAGTTTGCATTAAACAAAAACCCAAAGAAACAAAATTTATAAGAAAATTTTAACACAACCCTAATCTGAAAGTTCATTTTCAAGCTCTTTTATTCTCTGAACTATGTCTTGAACACTTTTTGACAAGTGATTGGTGTGTTCCTCAACATATTTCAATACTGTGCGCAACTGTTCTTGGTAAGCCGTGCACCGACGTTTGCATCGTTGTCTCTCATTATTAAGTTCAAGTGTCAGCTCTCGGATTCTTTGATCCTTCTCATCCTGCAAGCAGCACCCCCAGTAAATATCTGGGTAAGACTTATTATAAAATGTTGCATCGAGGAAAAAATCACAAGTTCCGCTATAGTTTTACACTAGTAATATAGTTGAATATCAACACTCAGCAGCATATCATTCTGCTCAATTTCTTTTGAATTTTTTTTTTCTCCAAGATCCCTTCTACATATTCTTCATTCAATAAAGTCTAATTATATTCTTAGTTTCTTAAAGGAAATCTCCAATCTAGTAAACATCTTACATATTTTACAAGTGTCCAATATGATATGACATGATATAATTACGCATGGCACAACAAAATGAGCCCACTCCAAATGAAACTCTTATAAGATTTAAAGCATAACCAGATCCCATATTGCATGGTGTTACATAGGTATCCCAAGTGGGTGTATATCTAATTATTGTTTATTTTTCCCAATGAAATGTTAGAACAAGGGTATGTGGCTTAATTATTAAAAGAAGCATTTTTTTTTCCCCCTATTTTTATGACCTAGCATTTTGGCGCTTAGGTATAGTCACCATTCTTAATTTGAAATTCTACACAAAATGAAGAGTAGAAACAAGGAAGTCTCCAAGCAAATTTGTAGTCAACTCTGGATATTTTTCTCTCTTCTGACGTCATCTAGCCGCATATCCCTGACCTATACTCATTTCATCATGTCATGCCAGCCCTCCCTCTTTGAGATGAAATTACACTATATATATATATATATATATATATATATATATATATATGTTTTATCCCAAGTAAAGGATAAGTAATTGGAGCTTACTAAATTATATGGCACTGCTACCCAGCCAAACAGATAACGAAATAAAAAATGAAAATGCAAGATACCTCGCTGATCAAATTTTTTCCAGATCCTCGCCATGGAACTTTACTAGGAGACATTAAACTGTGATTGTGATCTTTTACAAATTTGGTAACAACCCACTTAACTCCATCCCTCAGAGCTACCCTCAGCATTGCAGGACAGCCTTCACGGCTGATAGGTGGTGGAGGCAGAACTCTATCCTTCCTGCATACATATTTCTTTTCGCGAAAACCTTCTTTTGAACAAACAAAATCTTGACCAATAACCATATTATTGATTCGAGAGCGGCGATTATGATGAATGCGTACGGTAAATCCTGTGCGCCTTCCATAAGCAACATAATGCTCCCGAGCATCATCTCTTGAGTTGAATTCCATGCCAATGTGTGGTTCTACATCATCACCGATTGAAGGTGAATTTCCATTAGATTGATCCATTATCTTTTCATCTTCACCAATACACAGATCCATACTTTCTGAGAGCTCGTCATCAATGAAATCACGCTCATCGTAGCTCTCATCTGGCAAACAGCTTTCACTTTCAACTAAATTGAACGCTTGACTAGATGCGCTATCCATAATGACTCTAATTTAGACAAGCCATATATCCATCATTGCTGATCTGCAAGTAGAAAATATAGTAAGTAAAGAACTCATTTTCTAATATATTGATTTATTATATCCAAAGTATGCATTTCTAAACAACAAAACAATGAATGGAGAAGTTGGTGCAATCAAAATTTCGATGTGAGATATGTAAGGGGTTTTGTGGGTTGGGGGGGGTGGGGAGCTACACTGAAAGGGAAGCTCCGCCTTCAACCGCTAACTGAATAAAATCAATAATTTGTATTATTTAGATACTCAATATTCATGGTTAATTTATCAATTATTTAAACCGCCAAACCAAGTAGTTAGGTTGACTGATTGAGGATTAGTTGAGTTCTCTTGATCTTCTTAGTTTAGATATATACAGAAAAATTCAAGATTTGTTGTGCATATAGTTTAGCTTGAGAAGTGGAGATTCATGATTTTATGAATCAATGACAAATAGCTTAAGTAAACAATGAGGTGCCATCTCAAGAAAATAAGAAGAATCTGCCAAGGAAAATCTGATTGGGTAGTTTGCAATATCAATACCTATTGTGACATTGAATTGAGCAAATATGTTATTATCCATTTTTTTCCTTTCACAATACTCAAGAATAGGTTCTTGGATTCATTTTGAGAGGATTTTGGCTACAAAGATAGTTAGGAATCTCTTGCTCTCACTGGATTGACTTTGTTCATCCAGTTAACAACCTTATAACCAAGAGATGAGACATTCCTAATAATTCTGTTGCCGGCAATTCAAATTAGGAGTTACAAGAACACTAGTATGGATCTTTTTAGAGGCATCCCTCTCAACTTGATTTCATTGGTTCTTCCTTTTGACAGTCAAAAGTTATACAGTAAATAATAGCATCTGAAAAGCACAGGGTAGTAGAGCAAAAGCCCCAAAAATGATTTCTTCTGCAACCCATATTAGAATGTGTGTTGGTATCTAGCTAATTTTACAGTTCTTATCTTTCCACATAGTCATCTAAACATTAATAACAGCCCAACATTCTATACCACAAAGTATGACTAATCTAATAGTTAATTTTATAAAATTTTCTTCACACTCTATTGATATATGTTGACACCCAATGCCCAGACATACCATCTTGACTTTAAAGTTCGTCCCAATATCTCAATAATTTAAAAATTCATCTCCACTTTAATTTCATGAAGCAAATCAATATCAAAGAACCTAATCCGGAAAGAAAATATAATAAGTTGTGACTTGAACTGAATCTCTCACACCCTTCAACAACTATTCAACCTCCCATGCTGTTTTGCAATGATTTTCTTGCAAAAGCAGTCGATAGTTCAAAAGCCCACACATAAAATGAACAACTCTAATTCACTGAGACTGACACAATTAGCAGGGTAACATCAACTAATATTTTAAATATTTTAAAGAAAAAGATTCAAGATTCTATTTTTTACTTGGTCTCCTTCCGTTTTCTGAGAAACCAAACGGGGGCTTTTAGGGTGAGAGAGCAAGAAAGAGGTGATGATGCCCTTTATGCGAGGAGTTTTTAATCAAATGTCAAATTCAAACAAAAGAAGCAACAACTAAATTTCCAAAAGAAAAAGTCGTATAGACGAACGCACCATTATGAATCGTAGAGCTCTTCAAGAAAATCACCGACGAATACAGAGTTGGTTGACTAATTATGTCTCTCAATCTCATCGACGTTCGCGATCGAGTCTCTCCTCAGTTGGAGACCATAGGGTCTATCAGCTCTCAAGGGTCGCATACACAGAATGACGGGATCTAGGTTAGGGGAGTGACAACCAACAGGTTTTCTCAAAAGGGCTTGCTTCATAATCTGCTGGATCATGGCCCACTATAAGACCAGACTTTGCCCAAATTTTATGGCGACAAATGGAGTCCAAATTTTATTGACCTATATTTCTTCAAAGATACCACCTTATTACAGAGTAATAAGTTGTCTTATTAATCACTATAATGCATGATATTATAAAATAAAAAAATAAAAAATTCTACATCTCCATCACAAATAACCTATAGCATATAATTTTTAAAGAATAATTCATAAATCAAATTTTATAAATTTCATTTGATTTCATAGAGTGAGACTTTCAATTGTATAGACATTTAAAACATTTTCGAATTATAATTTGGATGCTAATTCTATATATATATATATATTTTTAAAGAGCAGTTCACAATCAATCATGTTGAGGTGTCTCACTGTTAGATTACTTTACTTATTTAATACTATTAACATTGAAATTCAAGTGCATAAATGACCCCACATTTTAAAACCTTGTAAAATTTTTGTCTTGAACTAGGGTCAATTAATCAAGAGTTTTGAGAAGAATGGACCTAGAAAAAGTTAGAACCGTTTTGAAAGTTGACTAAAACTAAAAAAAATATCATCTTTCAAATCATATGATTCACTATTCATATAATAAGTTGAAGTTAAGTAATTAAACTAAGCAGTTAAAAAAAATTGTGATTTGTGTGAAAAAATAATAATAATAATAAAATGTATGCAATGAGTAACATCAATTTTATTTTATTTTATTTTATTTTTAATCCAGTAAATAAGTGATTTACTATAAAATGTAAAATATTTACAGAATGAGTACCATCGAGCCTGTTTGGGAAGTGTTATGATATTATTTTTCTGATATTGGTATTCAAATTTGAACCCATGTCATGTTTGGGATAGGAATGGTAATGGGGCGGGGCGGGGCGGGGCGGGGCGGGGCGGCGCGGGTATCTCATTCTCCATTCCCATATTCGGTAAATTTTTTCATCCCCATCCCCACCCTCATCCCTTTTAAAATTTCACCCCTACCCTGCCCCGCCCCCATAACTGATTAACACACACTATATTTTTTTTAGCACATAATTTTTCTTTTTATCAAATTCCAAGATTTAGCACAACCAAGTTATAATTTGTCTTAAATGTATTTCATAAGTTATATATACTTAATCTAATTTAGTAATATATCATACTTATATAAGGGTATTTTAATAAATGTACACCCTAAGCAGGGCGGGGCGGGGCGGGGGAGTTTTCAAAAACTATCCCCATCCCTATCCTCATTTACATAAAAAGGTTCCCAAACCCGCTTTAAACGGGGCAGGGCAAGGACCCACCAGATTTGAGGATTTTGCCATCCCTAGTCTAGGACGACTTATATTAGTTTAAAATAATTCATAACATATCAATTTTTTTTTATCAAAATTCATATCACCAAAAATTTGGAACTGCAACAGAAGAATTAAAGCAAAATTTTAAATTTTTCAAAACAAATTTTAATTACTGATTTTGATTTCTATCCAATAACATACCTCCAACAAAACCCTTATTTTGATTGACTAAAAACATAACGCAGTAAAATGGGCCCTCATTTATTAATGGTAATTGTTTTAAATTTTTCAAAACAAATTTTAATTACTGATTTCGATTTTTATCCAAAAACACTCCTCTAACAAAATCCTTATTTTGATTGACCAAAAACATAACACAGTTTTTGGTTAATTGGTGGATTTGAGTGTGAGAGCATGAAGGAGAAAGACGGAGGAAAGAAAACGAAGGTGCTGCTGGAGAATCACATGAGCACTGGAAGGCCAGATTATATAATAGGTGTGTAACGACCTGAACTCGAGGGTCCGAATCGCTAACCGGGTCCTTACCCGAACCCGATATCAATTATGGACACTACTGTCCTTTCTTATGTCAATACATAATATACGTGTCATCCCAGGGTTTATAAAATAAATAAATAGGTAAATAAATAATAATAATAATAATAATAATAATAATAACAATAAAAAAATGATATCATAGTTACAAAGTATGTCAAAACAGTCCACTAACCCATCAAAACCTGTAGAGGAGCGTCGTCCGCCACTTCCTTTTCGTATCTTGAAAAATATTAAAATAATGGGGTAAGCATAAGCTCAGTAGGAAGTGTCTAAGGCACACTTCTTACGACCCCGTGAATCCACATATGGATTAAAATACAAGAGAACGGGATCATATCTCGGGAAGCAAATAAAACAAGTATAACATCAACAGTTATGTACACAAGTCATCCGACAACTAAATACGCACAATGTACCAATGAAATGCCATGCCATACAATGTCGCTCTCTATTTCCGAAACAATACTGTTTCAACTTCCAAACCATTAGTGTAATCCGACCCAAGACACTTCTAAGGCGTCACGAATGGAGGGTTAACTAACTATCCACGATCACAAGGCACCTCCAAGGCATCGTATCCGGCCTAGTTAGCTCAACTATACTCTCTTCTGGACTAAACTAACAACACGGACCATTAGGCGCCTCCTAGGCGTCCAATTTTCACAAACACCTTTAAAAATATTTTTTCCAAAAACAATTTCATTTATTTTTAAAACAAACTTTCCCCTTTACTTTCCCAATGGCAATGCATAAATTATGCAATTCCTTCAATGTCATGACAATATAGAAATTTCATACATATCATCCACATTATTTTAGCTTGTTTAAAACATGAATTTTCACAAACGATCATATTTTCATATTTCTAAATCATGGTATTTTACATACTTTCAATTCACAAATCCAACAACTCAAGTACATAGGGCATAAAATAAAATCATTTAAGTATGTATCATCTCAACAAGGCAATTATCACAAAATCACACACTTTCTACACCATAAAAAAAAAAAATCATGTATAAAATATATAAATTACATCTCAAGTACTTAACACAATATAAACATGCTTATACATCAATTAAAGGAGATTAATTCAAAAAGCTCAAAGAAATGGGTATTAGAACACCCTTACCTCAAGTATTGAAGAACACCCCAATTTCAGCCCAATTTTTGGAATCCATAGTGCTCCAAACTGAAAATTGCTCCGATCAATATGAAGCCCACGACGAGCTCTTCAACTTTGCTTTAAGTGGCAAAGTCTAATTCCCAATAGTTAAGCCTAGATCAAGGTTTGAAGTTTGTGAGAAAAAAAAAGAAAAAGAAAAGTTACGAGGGAGAGAGATACAGACGTGATGAGAGAGAGAGAGAATGGCCTGATAATGGCCTTTGGCCATTTTAATGACCAAAATAAAAGGGGTGGGTCCCGCAAATAACTTTCCATTTTCCATTACTTTTTTTCTTTTTTTTCTTTCTTTTTTTTTTTTCTCTTTTTTTTTTTTTTTTTTTTTTTTTTTTTTTTTTTTTTTTTTTTTTTTTTTTCTTGGCTAGTAGCCACCTGCTCTCTTCTTTATTTGATTCACAATATCCACACACACACACACACACACACATATATATCATAAACATTACAATCTACCCTTCTTAAAAGATTTCGTCCTCGAAATCTACCCTCCTTAAAGAAGGAGACCTATAACCACACACCTTTCTGAGAATATCTCACAAAACCCCAAAACCATGAACTCATTAACATTTGCCTTTGACACCGGACGTCACCAGGCATCACACACCACTACCGCAAAAACACAATGCTCACCACCCTATGAGGGTATTCATTATTCATGACATCAGAACACGAGACCAACTAGGCCCTACACTCGACTCAAAATGGACATCGGTCCACTCAACACTGCTACGCAAGACTCCGAAGCTCGAAAGAAGAACAGTCACTAAACCACCGAATATGACAACATCTAATCACAACTCCTCTCTAAAAGGACACATAAAACCCTAGACAAAGAACCCGTCCATCTCATAATCAAGCTCAACTCTAATATACACAGCCCTGTCAGACCAAACATTCACTATCTAACACTTAACTACACCATCTCGTATTCGTACAAACGACTACCAACCACACAAATCGGCAATTACAATACTTATCACCCTCAAGATAACCAAACAACAATTATCTCAACGACTACATAAACATGAGTCACCAGAATAATAAAACGTATTATCCTGTACCTAGAACCCAAATCCTCAAAACAAGATCTTCAATAATCAATGGTCATACCGAAAACCCTTATTGGACACTTGGTACTACCTAGCACATCTCGTCACCCAAAACAAATCATCCGAATCCACACTGTCACACTGACACAATGCGCAATACTGTGCTCTCACTACCCCTGACAAATTGAAACAATCATTGACCCTTGACCCGACATCGTGCTAAGAGGGACTGATTCAGGAGAAATGGTTGGCCAAGCCATTCTCATCATCGATCCGGTCTCAGTACAGATGTCGTTCCTGTCCTTAGGTCCAAACCTCAAACACACTCTCACACAGTCTACAAGACAACTATGAGATTCACTTGCTATCAATCCATCGTTTTACGTAACCACAACGGCTAAACAGTCTTATACTTACTCTAAAAATTTCAATCATGCTTTAATCATACAACCCTAACAAGCTAATAATAACACAGCATGTGATACCCCTCGAATCCGAAACGCGGGTTGATCAGGCCCAGGCCCAAACCCGAGGGAATATCAAACAATTAAAGTATTTTATAACGAACACAGATGACAAAGTGAAATAAGAATAAATATTAAAAGTTGAAATGAATACTAATGTAGAATCCTCAATCGATAAAACTTAATAAAATCCAACATCCAAAACCTCTATGATTATAAATCGGGAATCTATTTAGTAGACCCTTAAATAAAATCCCAACTGAACTGAAAACTGAAAGTAAATGAAACTGAAATATCGTGGGAAGTCCTACGTAATCTAACGAATGGAAACTGTCCTCGAACAGCACGATCAAGCTCTAAGGCTGGAACCGTCCTGTACTTGAAAAGAATAAAAGAAGAGTGGGTCAGACCCACGAGCAAGTTCTAA